TCGCTGCGCTCCACCTGTCTGCAGGCTTCCACGCCATCCATCTTCGACTCTTCCGCTGCCCAGGCGCCCCGGCGTCCGTCGAGGTGCTGTGGGCAGAGGGCGAGGCGCCACAAACGTTCCAGCCCCTGCCTCCTTCGAGCGTCGTTTCCGGCAAGCCGCCTCTCGTGTCGAGTAGGCCGTCGATGGCGCTCAGGGTCATCGACACGCTCCCGGCCCTCAGCAGCCCTCTCACGGGCATGATCGGAGCCAGGGGCTGTCCCAACGGTTTGAACGCCTCCGCCACTCCTGCGGCCGTGCACGACGTCCTGAGGACGATGTCGACTCTGGGTCTCGAGAGGGCATACGTTGGCGTGGACGGGATGTCTTCCGCAGCCATCCTGGACCGCGCGACGAATGTGCTGCTCGAGTGGACAGGAGCGCTGCACGTCGTCGAAAGCGGGCCGGTCACCTTTGCCGCCCTTTGCGCGTCAGACGTCGACAGCGATTGCGCAGCAGTTGTTGAAATCGACGGCGTCCCCGTGGCCGCCGCGAGCGGGCCCGAAGAGTGGTCCTTGATCGTCCGCAACGGCAGCAGATCGACGGTCCAAGAAATCTGGCTCGACGCTGGGCCGCACGCCATCGCGGCTCGCGCGTACGCGTGTTCGGGAGCTGCGTCTTTGCACGTGCTGTGGCGCCCCAGCCGAAGGGACGCGACATTCCGGCCCGTGCCGGCCTCGAGACTGTCTCTGGAGTCGGCCAACGCCCTGGGCCGCCCGATCACGCTGGAGCAAGGAGCGCACGCGCTGCGAATTCGGTCTCTAAGCTGCGGCTCGGACATGTCGCTGCGGGTGCTCTGGCAGCTGCCCGGCAGCGCAGCACCGGCCCCCGTTCCGGCGGAGAGGTTGAGTCGCGCACTGCGGAAGGACTACGGGCGCGGCGAGGGGGCCAGAGTGCAGGCGTTTAGGAGTCGCAACAGTGCTCCTGCGGGCGCCTTTGCTGCGGTTCTCTCGGACCCGTCTGCGAGCGTTGCCGACGTCGTGCGCACCTTCGACAGGACCGAGTCGAACCTGGAGAACGAGTACATACGTGCCGATCTTGACATCGCCGCTGCGACGAACGGCATCTCGCTCGACTTTGATGATGCGCAACTCGCGGGCCGTCCGCTGGCCGATGCAACCAGGTTTTACGTGTGGGACGGATACCTCGTCGTCCCAGCCAGTGGGTTCTACGAGTTCGCGCTGGACTGCCACTACAGATGCCACATGGCGGTCGCGAACCAGAACGTCGCCGTGTCTGGCGTTGCCGTGGTCAACGACCCGCTGACGGACAGCCAAGGCTCCTCGCTCGGCCCAGTCTACCTAAGCGAAGGCCCCCACGCGTTCGTGACCAGGCTGTGGCGGCCTTATTGCCCAACCACGAACGGCGATTGCCACTTCGTCGAGACTCGCCCTGCGCGAATTACAGCAACGTGGCGCAGGGCGGGGAACCGCGCCGGGTTCGGGCCGATCCCCCCTGAGGCCTTCCGGACGGCATTTTCGCCCTCGGCTGCCGCGAACCAGATCGCGATCAGCACTAACACCGCCCAGATGGCTCCCTCGACAGCAAGCTCGTGCACTGCATTTGGCGGTGTGTACAACAACGCGGCGGACTTCCTCACGGCGTTCGAAATGCTGGGGTACTTCGACCACGGCCTGGGGACAACCATCCACCACACTAAGACGTCTACCATGAGGGTTCAGGGCCTGCGACTGTTTTCCAACGCCTACACCCACGGTCTGTTCTTCGCCATTCATGCCTTTATCGACGTCCCAGCGGCGGGCATGTGGCGGTTCGCGATGGAAGCAGGCGACAATGGCGACGTCGACGTCGGGGGGGTCATGGTGGCCAACGTGTACGGCGCTCCCAAGCGCAACACTGACCTGGCCACGGACAGCGCACAGACCTCACTTAGGGCCGTGTACTTGACCGAGGGGCTCCACTCCGTGCGCGTCCGACTGAACCGGTGCGGGCCGAACTTCTCATTCTCGTACGGCGTGCTGCGGATCGGATGGAAGCGCGAGGACGAGGACACGTTCCACGAGGTGCCGCCGTCGCGCGTGTACAACGACAGGGAGCTGATCCGGCGCAAGAAGCTTCTGCAGGTCGTCGACGAGGCCGCGCGGACGCAGTCGTGGCCCCCCGACGGCGACGGCGACGCCAGCAACGGGGCGGAGGATTTCCGTCTCGTGCTGGATGGCGGGTTGGCAGGAGCGCCGGGGATCAACGTCACGGTGACTGCGGACTCGTGTCCGTCGTGCTCGGGGTCGGTGTCGCCGTACACCACGACCTTGACGCACGCGGGGCCGACGGCGCTCGGCCAGATCGGCGACCTGCTGGCCACGGCCGACCATGACCCCGGGCACCGTGAGCTCTTCCTGCGCCCTTGGCTACTGTCTCTGGGGTCGATTGCGTCGTCGCAGACGCTTCAGGGATCCGACATGACGCTGGCTTCGGAAGTGCGGAATCAGATTCCGCAGCGAGTCGGGCTGGCGCCCACCCGCGAGGACCACGTTGGTGCGCACGTGTTGCTCGAGGCCACTGTGTCGTTGCCTGGCGGAGCCGAGCCAGTCAAGGTCCGGTCTCTGCACTCGACGGCGCGGGACGCGTGCAGCAGCATCGGGTGCTCCAACGGGGCGGCGTCGTGGGGCCAGTTCAAGCAGCACACCCTCGTCGACCTGACGTGGGGCTGGCCGTCGGACAACAGAGGCGGAGTGCCCCCCTCGAAGGCCGCGCCGCAGACGACGCGCGTCGTCGTGGAGCTCGACGCCGGCGGGTGCACCAACGTGAACGCGAGCTCCGCGACCTACTGCTCCCTGGTCAACCTCAATCACGCGGGAGACACGCGGGCGTTCGGAGGCCTCTGTCAGACGGACCGCCCGCTGTCTGCGTGGTTGTCCCTCCAGGGCCTCCCGGGCCTCCCGCCGATCGCGGGGCTGTTCCAAGACGCAGTCGCCTTTGACTGGGCAGGCGACACCCCCTTCGACTTCACTGTCGATTGGCGGCCGCCATCGCCCGGGCGAGCAACGTCGATGTACGGACGGGAAATGGCTGCCCTGCGCTACACCGCGAGCACCTCGACGGCCCCGTTGTGTCAGCCGGAGGCGCACAACGGAATCGCAACAACGTGGTTGAGCCTGCCGTCGGGCCAGAGTGCGCAACTCGCGCAGGATGGCGGCGCGGTCCGCGAGGCCATCGTACAGAGGGACCGAGACGGGACGCTGTGCGCGGGGTGCGCCGTGGCCGCAGTCCTGGACGCCGACTGGGAGTCGAGTGGCACGTGGGCGCACTACTTGCGGATTCTCGTGCACGGCGCCGGGAGCACGCTTACTCCAGGCACCGCCGTGTTCGAGCAGCGCGTGTGCGAAGGCAGCAGCTCGGCCCGGAACACGTCGTCCGTCGCCCACCGGCTCGTCCTCGCGCCCGACGGCGTCCTGCAGCTGTGGAACTCTACGGCCGTGCTCTGCACCGTGGCGGAGCTCCCGAGCCACCCCGACGCGAACAAGATGTCCGCTTGGCCGATCGGCGTGTACCTCGCGCAGCGCACCTGCAGGCTCGCCGCCGGGGCAACAGTGCGCGACTTCTCTTTGGTTTACGGCAGCCGGGAGGCCGGGGTTCTATGGGACGTGCGCACGGGCGCCGGCCCGCGCCACGGCTGCGCGTACAAGGTCCTGGACGCGGGGCCGGATCTGGCCAGCACAGGGTGGGTCAGTTCGGCTTACTACCCCATGCGGATTGAGGGCCTGCTCGAGCTGGGGGCGCTCGGAGAGGTGGGCGGGTCTACCGGGATGACGGACGTGGTTCTGCGGTACAACCACGGCCGGCGCAACGTCGCCGTCGCGGGCGAGCTCGGGCAGGTTGCCGTGGCGTTCGAGTACAGCCTGTTGCCCGGCAACGTGACGCTGTCCGCGAGCATCCGGCTGCGCGAGGGCCTGCAGTACCTCACCGTCGGCGCGGCGATGGTGTCGCTTGGCGACGGCGACTTCTCCGCGGCGCTGCGGCAGGTCGGCTTGCCCGGCGTGTCGTACGCAGGCCAGCTGGAAACCGTCCGACTCAACGGGCTGGTGCTGTCCGTTGGCGTCGACGAGAGCGGGCTCTTCGCGTTCAACAGGACCGCCTTCGGCCTCAGCGCGGCTTCCACGAGCGACGACGGCATCCAGTCGAACTACTCGATGCTGGTGCGGCGAACCGACCTGCCCGCGGGGCCTTCGTTCGAGATCACCGAGGCCGACCTGCGCTTGACCCAGCCGGGCTTCTGGTCCATCCGGTCGTCGGGACCGTACCCCTGCCGCTCGTCCTGGGCCCCCGCCGAAGGGCTCTTCCAGAACCTCCCCGCGGGGATCGGGGATGTCGTCATTACGCTGACCAACGGAACGGGATCGTTCGCGTGCGACGGCCGGCGCGTCACGGACTTCCTGCTCCGCGCCAGGGTCGGCACGCAGCGACTGGCCCTGGGCGAGCTCGGAGCGATCGACATCGTGGACACCAACTTCACCTACACCCACAGCGCGCGGGCGATCACGGTCGCCGGCCGGCTGGGCAACCTGGTTGCGACGGTCAACATCGATGCCACCGCGGCTACCCCACCGGACTCCGCGGTCATCTCGTTCCGCGCCGCCGACCCCACCGTCCCAGTCGACCTGTCGTGGTTCTCGCGCAACTTCGGGAGCACCTACGTCGTCGATCGCATTCAGGCCGTCGGCCTGCCAGGGCTCCCTCCCGGTACCAACGTGAGCCAGACGATCGTGGCGGGCCTCGGCATCGACCTCGTCTTCCCCGCAGTGGCCAGCGTCGTGTTCCGGGGAGGGTTCAACGTGTCCGCCTCGCTCGAGGCCGACGTGGTGATGACGGCGACGGGAACGGGCGCAGAGGCCAATATCACGGACCTGTCGCTCGATCTCCGCGGCAAGGGCCCCGGGGCCGGCCTCTCGATCTCGGTCGATACGTCTCGCGTGCCCTGCAACGGATCGCACGTCCCAGCCACGATGAACATCGGGGCCTTGGGCCCAGTGATATCGGGCGCAACGACTGCTGCGGGTGCGGTGCGCTACGTTTGCAACGGACCCTCCATCGCGGACATTGTCGGCACCTTTGGCCCTGCTGGGACGCTGCTTCTCGAAACGGGGCTGGCCGGCAACGTGTCGGTTGCGACGACGAACGCGACGTACAGGCATGCGGCGGGCGTGATCAGCTTCGCTGGAGCCACGGGCATCATGTCTGCTGGAGCAACGATCAGCACGAATGGCACGGGAGGGGCGTTTTCCTTTGCACGGGCGCCGACAACCACGCTGCAGCAGGTTTTCACCGACCTTGGCAGTCGCATGGAGCAGTCGATACGTCAGGTCGGCCTGCCGGGGCTCGAGGTGAACACAGCGCGTGGGGCGTCCATTGGCGACCTGTCGATGCGCGACATCCTCCTGGCGTTCGCGACGGGATCTCCGGAGCTTCGGATATCGTGTACGGGCGTGACACCGCTTGTTGCCGTCGACGTTTCGCTCGATCTACGTGCGGACGTGCTGTCCAGTGGCAGCACTGTGCCGAGAAGCCTGACGGTGTCGTTCCACAAGATCAACGCCTTCAGCTTCACCGTCGACAGCGGTGACATCGACCCATGCTCTGGATCGCCACTGCCAGCATCTGGAATGGTCGAGGCCGCGACGGGCTTCGCTGCTGCGACGACGGCGAGCGGGCAGACCATGCCTCCGCATGCGCTCGCAGCGCGCGGGTTCGCATCGCTCGAGTGCAGCGGGGGTGTCATCGAGAATGTGGTCGTGCGTCTCAACAGGACCGCTACCGGGGACACGTTCGGGGCGGTCATCGCCAACGACATGCCGAACATGCCGACGAATCATACGCTGAGCGATGCGGCGCTGGTGTACGAGCACTGGCGGAACAGGCTGTCGTTCGAGGGCGTGCACGCCACGTTCGACGTGGAGCTCGTGATCTTCAACGACTTCCCCACGAAGGGCTTCTTGACCTTCACGCCGCCTCCCGGGTGGTCGGGGACGCTGGCGGAGGCTGCGGCAGTCTTCGGGCGGCCCCTGGAAACCGCGGTGGTCACCCTCGGCGTGCCCGGCCTCGTGGCTGCGGGCAGCACGGCCCAGGCAGCTGCGCTGTCCCTCAACGGCAGCACGGTCATCGAACTGGAGACATACGAGTTGGCAGCCAACAGACTCGAGAACCGCCTGCGGCTGTTTGGGTGCGGGCACCTGGGCGACGTCGCCTCCACGGTGTGCTTCGAGGAGATCTACTTCTGGGACGACTTCGGCACGGGCTTCAGCGGCGGCGAGTTCATCGCGACGGACGAGGTGCTCTGGCGACCAAACCCGCAGGCTGCCAACCTGGAGATCACGCTACGTCCGCCACGAGGGACGTCGATGGCCTTCTCGGACGACCCGTGCAAGGCACGCGACGTGGACGTCTTGCCCATCGAGGCCTCGACGAGGCTCACAGCATTGCCCCCTGGCTTGCCGGATGTGTCGGCAACGGGCTCTGCGTCGGTTCTGTGCTACAAGCACGCCCAGCAGGACGTCAGGCTCAGCCTGGCGACGGACACCTTCGCCCCGCTCGTCGGAGGGCTCGGTTCCTTCGGCCCGGTCGCGAGCCCTGTCCTTGCCGTGTCGAGTGCGCAGCGGGCCGTCAGCCTGCAAGGCCGTGTGGGGCTCCTCAACGTGTCGGCAGCGTTCTCTCTGGGCAGCGCGGCGGGCGTGGAGTACGGTCTGTCGCCGGCGTCTCCGGGCCCTCTCACCCTGGCGGACATCATCACGGCGATCAACAGCACTGGTGTCACGTCCTTCTTCGACGCTGTGGGGCTCCCAGGCCTCCCGCAAAATGCCAGCTCGTCGTCGACGGTCATCTCGGCGCCGTCGATCACGCTCGGCGACATGACGGTGCGCCTGCAGGGGTCTTTTGCGTTCCCAGACAGACCTGCGTTGGCCGTTCTTGACCTGGCCGGCGTCTCCGCTGGGGCCAGCCACACCATCTCCAACCTCGTCCTCGACATCTCTCAGCCTGATCTCCTGTCGCTGAACGCGTCAGTCTCCGTGCCGTGCCAGACGGGCAGCAAGACGGTGCCAGCCTCGGTTGCGACGGTCACCGGCCCTCCCAACCCCCTCCGCACGGTCGTGAACGGCTCGATCCTCGCGACCTTTGTCTGTGCGGGGCAGGCGATCAGCGATCTTCGCTTCGCGCACGCCACCGGCGTCGTCGACATCGCCACGGACGCCGTCGGCCCAGCACAGGTCACGTCCTCAACGGTCAGCTTCAGCAACGCCGCTGGTTCGGTGATAGTCTCTGGCAGCATGGCGTCCCTGGCGGCGACACTGGTCCTCGACGCCCAGGATGTCAGCGTCGGGACGATGCGGGCGCACAGCGTCGGCAGCGTGCCACTGGCACCGCTGTTTGACGCGTTCCCTGGATTCAGCTCCGTGCTCACCTTCGTCGGACTTCCAGGCCTGCCTTCCGACACGGACTTGAGAGCCATCGCCGCAGACGGAATGGACGTCCGCCTTTCGACCTCCGGCTTCGAGATCGACGTGATCACGGGGTATGTCGATGCACACGGAGGGGTGTATTCGCTGGACGCCTCGCTCCTGACGGTTCCGGCGCCGCGCTTCGTTCGACTCGCACTGCACATCTCCCAGCCGAGCGCGCTGGACATCAGGATCTCATCGGAAAGGCCGTGCGCTGGTTCGGCTGCGTTCCAGGACTACCTGGGCGCGACAGTCAATGTCTCGTCGTTCTCGTTCACCGCGCCTGCCCTGGTGACGGCCGTTAACGGCGCAGCCTCTGGGCGGATCCAGTGCTCGAGGCGAGACCGCGCGCAGGGCCTGGAGTTCACGGCGCGGCCTGGCGAGGCGTCGCTGGTTGCGACGGGCCTGCTTGGCAACGTCGCCGTCGACGCGCCTGAGCTCGCGTACGACCACGTCGCACGCACGCTGGACATCAGCGGAGACGCGAACGGCATAGCGTTCGAGGCGAACATCTCGCTGAAGACCCCGCTGGCGTCGCTCCCGACCGGAGCTGTGCTGTCCGCTCAACGGACGACTCTGCAGGCGCTCTCGGACGCCTTCTCCGGCGGTACTCGGACGCTCCTGGAAGCGATTTCCATCGTCGGCTTGCCGGGAGTATCCCTGGGTCAAGACCCTGGCTCCCTCGTCCTGCACGGCGTGACCCTGCGGCCTGATGCCGCCGGGTTCGTCCTGGATGCCACCACCGTCCTCCCGGGGCCTCTGAACGTCACGTTCTCCACGAGCGTCGTCGCCGCCGGCAGCGTCCTGAGCGTCGCGGCCGTCGACGTGAGGATGGTGCAGGCCGGCGTCCTAGCGCTGCAGTTCGGAGGCAACGCCCCGTGCACAAGCGGCCCCCTCCAGGCCACAGGCACCGTCTTCCAGCCCCCGATGGTGCCGAGCCGCCAAGACGTGACCTTCTCCGGCACAGTCACGGTCTCGTGCGTCGCACAGCTCCTCGGCGACCTGAGCCTCGACGCCACGACCGACACGCTCAGCGTGTCGACAGTGCTGGCCGACAGCGTCGTGCTCTTCGACGCGCAGCGCCTGACGTACGTGCACAGCCAGCGCGCCTTCGGATTCAGCGGCACCAAGCAAGGACTCGACATCACCGTCTCGTCCTTCCTGCTCGACAGGGCGAACCTCTTGACCAAGGCAACATGGTCCCAGGCCGCCAACCTGACGATCTCCGAGCTGTCGACGCGGCTGGGCGCTGACGTCGACGCTGCTATTGGGCAGGGCGGTCTGCCGCCGCAACTCCCCGCTGGCGCCGGAACTGCGACCGCCGGGAGCGTGATCCTGTTCCCCGGCCTGCTTGTCGAAGGACAGCACCGGGCCGGGAGCCCCGAAGGGTCGTTCTTGCGACTCGACGCCGACGGCGTCGCCGGGGCGCTCTCCGTCGTGCTGCGCCGCGACCCTGCCGGGACGTGGGAGCAGACGGTGCTGTCGTTCCGTTACGAAACCCCCGGGGTCGTGTTGCTCATCTCTCCGCTCGGCGACGCTTCGGAGGTGTCCCTCGCGTTCCTCTCGTCGCCGTGCAGTGCTCCGGAGCGCGTCTTTGCGGCGAACGCGAGTGTCAGCCCCGTGCCCCCCGGCATCCCGGCAGTGGGCGGCGCGGGCACTGTGGAGATCGTGTGCGTCGGCCCCGGCATCGATTCGTTCCGCGCCGCCTTCAGCGTCCTCCCCGGGCTGTCGTTCAACGCGGCGGGCGTCGGGGTCGTCGGCCCGCTGCCCGCCGCGAACGCCACCATCGTCTCTGATGGGCCTGAGGTGTCGGTCACTGCGGTGGTACCCCCCCTCCGTCTCGAGGTCTCGTACGACCCGTCCGTCGCCCTCGAGGGCGGTCCGGCGCTGGTCTTCTCCCCGGCAGACACAGAGGGCGCCGTGACGCTGGGCAGCATGCTCAGCGCACTTCCCGACGCACTGGCAACGCCGCTGACGACGGTCGGCCTGCCCGGCACCTCGCCCTCGGAGTCCGCGGCCACCCGCCTGCGACGGCTGCGTATTCGAACCGTGCGGCAGCTGATCGTCGTGACGACGGACATGGAGCTCGGGGCGAACCTGACGGGCACGCTCAACATGTCGGTGCTGACCAACGCGACGGAACCCAGCATCAGCGACCTCACGCTGCGGCTTGTGCAGCCGAACGTCATGGACGTGAGCATCTCTGGAACCCCCTGCGGATCCACGGTGACGGTGGCTCCGTCCATCGACCTTACGCCCACCAACGGCACCGCGCGACACTCCCTGACGGCTGTCGCGGCCGTCGCGGAGCTGCCGGGGACTTCCCTGCTAGGGCGGGCTCTTGATGGCCGTGGCTACCTTCACCTGAACGGGACGGCGCGTGCCGTCTGCCGCGGAGCCGCCGTGGTCGATTTGGAGGCCAGCTTCGATATCGGGAACGTGACGATCGACGCCCGCTTCGCTGGCGCTCTCGCGGCACAGAATGCGCTCGTGACGTACGCACATGCGCGGCGCGAGATCGCCGTCACCGGCCGCCGAGGTTCCTTGCTCCTCACCGCCGCTGCGCACGTGGCGCAGGCCCAGCAGGCAGAGGTGTCGCTGTCCACTCTCAGGAGCCCGGAAAGCCTGTTCTGGATCCTCAACGACGCAGACAGCGCACCTCTGTCTGCCTCCCTCCTGCTTGGCCTCCCGGGCGTCCGCGTAGAGCTGCCCTCGGACGAGATTTTGCTCGACAGTCTCCGCGTTGTCATGGGCGATGCGGGCTTCAACGCGACGGCTGAGGCGCTCGTTGACAACTGCGTCGCTCTCGCGGTCAACTCGACGGTCGTGGCGGTCAACGCGTCGGCCTACGAGCTCGCAGAAGCGCAGGTCACGGTCGGAGATCGCACGACTGCCGCAGTCGTCTTTGCCGGGGTTCGGCCTTGCGCGACGGGCAACATGCCGGCATCTGCGCGTGTAGACGCGCTCTCCTGGGCGACCCAGACGGTGGAGCTCCCCGGAACGGCGTCGGTCACGTGCTCCGCGAGCGGCGCCGTGCGCGGCATCTCTGCGGCTTTCTCGCCCTTGCAGTCGCTCGTCGTCAACACAACCATGTTCGGATTCGTCACCGTGGAGTCCGCCGCCGGATCGTACGACCACGACTCGGCCCGCCTCACGTTCGACGGGACGCTCAACTCCTCCTCCTTCCCAGCTGCAGCCGTCGTCGCACTCGAGGACCCTGAGGACCTCCTCCTCTCCGTCACGCCGCCTTCCTCGGCGCTACCTCGCACCCTCGGAGGCCTAGCAGCTGACATCGACCTGGCCGTGGCGGCGTCGGTGCGGTCCGCCGGGATTCCAGGGTTCTTGGAGGGTGATGCGCGCCTGAACGCGTCGCAGGTGATGGTGTCCGGGGAGGTCGTCGTGCAGGCGTGGCATCGCGCGTACGAGCTGCGTCTCGCTGGGACCGTCCAGACCCCCGAGACAGGACCCACGAAGGTCGACGTGACGTACCGCGGCCCCGCGCAGGACGGCACGTTTTCCGTTGCGCGGATGGTCACGACGCTCGACCAGCCGCGACTGCGGCTCAAGTTCGTCGGACCAGGCGTGCCGTGCAGGCCGCTGGATCCGCCTCTTCCGCCCGCCGCGCGGCGCGGCCTGAGGGACGTGTCCAGCGAAGCGCGCCACACCGACACTGGAGGTTTCCTCGTCGAGGCCGAGGTTCACGGCCTGCCTGGCGGGCTGCTGAACCTGACTGGCTCGGGCGCTGTCGACTTCGTTTGCGACGCGAGCACGCGGAGCGTCGTGGACTACAACTTCACCGTGGACGCTGGCGACATTGCATGGCAGACGACACTGCAGGGCACCGTCGTTTCGATCGAGGACGCCTCCGTGTCGTTCCTCAGCTCTTCGGGCGTCGTCGAGGTCCTCGGCCGCGCTCCTCTCGCGAACGAGGCCACCGCAACGTTCAACCTCACCCAGGATGCCGCTGTGCCGCTGCTTGTTCGCCGGCTGCCGCAATTCTTCCCGGCTGCGCTCGGACAGGCGCTCGACGACATACGCCTGCCGAACGTGGGGGACGCAGCGCTGCGGGTCGGCGTTCCGGGAGCCGCGAACCGCGAGGAGGTCGCGTCCCTCGAGGCGCACAGGCTCGAGGTGCTCTTTGGAGCGGCGGGCGTTGTCAGCATCTTGTCCAACACGACCGCACAGGGGTCCGACGAGGCGTTCCTGGTCGCGGAGGTCGATCTGTCGCCAGCAAACGGCTCCGCGCTGTCGAACGACTCCGCGGTGACCGTCCCCTCGGCCAGGATTGCAGTCGAGCTGCCAGGCAAACTCGTGCTGTCTGCCGGGGCCGAGCGCCCGTGCGAAGTTCCGAGCCCCACCCGCAGCGGCCAGGCGTCCGCGGAGATCACGGGGCTCCTCGGCCTGTCCAGCCCGCTCGCGATGCGTGGCTCCGGCACGATCAAGTGCACCGGGTCCAGACTGACGGGCTTCGCAGCGGAGGTCGCGTCCGACGCCGCAGCACGTGTCGTCGCCGGATCGCTAGGCCCGCTGCAACTTCCGGGGCTCTCGCTGTCGTACAGCCTTGCGCAAAACGCCTTTGCGTTCAACAGCACGATCGTCTCAAGCTACGCCCTCCAGTATGGCGCAACCGTCCGCGGCAACGACACATCCGTGACGCGCTCCGTCGTCTCCACCAACAGGCCCGGCGTGCGTCTGGCCCAGGTGTCGAGCGACCTCGGCTCGGCGGTCTTCGACGCGGCCTGGCAGGCGCTGGGCGTGGACGCGCTGGTGCCGTGGCCCGACAGGCTGCCGGCGGACGTGGAGTTCGACCGCCTGTCGTTCGCGACTCAGTCGCCAGACAGCCTCACAGCGCACGCGTCGGCCCCGCTCCCGGGCGCGAACGCCACCGTGGATTTCGACGTGCGCTTGAACCGCACCGCCGGGGCCAATGGCAGCAGTTTCCAAGTCAACGGATTGCGGCTGCGCTCCGTGCAGTCCGAGCGCGTCGCCGTGACTGTCGAGGGATCGTGCGGCGCGACGGAGCCGCACACGGCGCGCCTCGTGGTGCTCGGAGACCCTTCGCTGGGAGGCATGCTGGACATGCGCGGGAACGCCACAGTGCTGTGCACCGGCGGGGAAGGAGTGCGTGAAGTCTCCGCAGCCTTCGCCCGATCCAACCTGACGGTGTCGGCGGGGCTGTCCGGGCCGCTCACCCTGCGAGCTGCGCAGTTCGCGTACCAGCACACCGCGCTCACTCTGTCAGTGCAGGGCGGCTTGGCTGTCATGGACGCGCGCGTGGAGGCGCGTCTCGGCGCCGGCTTCCCCGCGGACATCGCGCTGGGCCTCGCGCAGGCATCGAACACCTCAACGGTGCAGACAATCCTGCAAAGCTTGGACATCGAGCGCCTCAGCACTGCTGTGGCTGCCCTGGGCCTGCCAGGGCTGGCGAGCACGCCGTCGGGGGCACTCGACACCGTTCCCGCCCGACTGAACGCTACGTTCACGGCAAGCGGCACCGTCGACATCGGCGCGAGCGCCGCACTGCCGGAGACGGACGTCGTTGTTTCCCTCCTTGTCAACGCCGTGGCGACCGCGGACCCCGCAGGCTTCACAGCGAGCGCCGTGTCGATCGACGTCGTCGCAGGCGGCCGCTTCAGTGCGCGGGCGCACGCTGCGTTCCCGTGCGCGAACGGCACCACCGGGTCGGGGAGCGCCACGCTGGGGCCCGTGCCGTCCCTTGTTGCGCCGATCCGCGCGCGCGGCACGTCACGGTTTGTGTGCTCTGGACCGGCGATCGTCGACTTCGTCGTCGAGTCCGCCCCGGCCCCCACGGGCCCGGCACTCCTCGACACGAAAGTGCTCGGGAACCTCACGATGCAGAATGCCACGCTCTCGTACGCACATGCAAGGCGCGTCGCCACGGTCGTCGGGCTGTCGGACGACCTCCCCGCCGAGCTCTCGATTCCAGTCGTTAGCCGCAACGACTCCGCGCTCGAGATCGGGTTGCCCGCGTCCCAGAGCGCCATCACGCTGGGGGAGTTCTCGACCCGCGTCGGCTCGGACGGCGTGCTTGCGGCGGTCGTCGCTCTGGGCATTCCGGGTCAGTTCGAGCCGGACGCGCCCCGCGCCACCGTTGCCGCCATTTCTGTCGCCGGGCTGCGGGTGACGATGGCGGACCTGCCGTCCAACCTGTTGAGGTTCGCTGGATCAACGGCAGCAGCTCCTTTCGACATCACGGCGCGCCTGGCGTGCGGCTCCGAGGTCGGACTGGCCCCAGGCTCGTGCGCATTTGTTCTTGCGGCGCTCGTCTTCCAGTACGAGGCGCCTGGGATTGCGCTCACCGCGCGCGGCCTGTCGCCGTGTACGTCTGGCGACCCCAACGAGACGTCGACGATCATCTCCGCCACGCTCAACGGCATGCCGCCCGGCTTGCCGCGGACCGCGACGGACGGAATCGTGCAGTTCATCTGCGGCGAGGCCCCCGGCGAGGTCGTGGACTTCACGGCAGTCCTGCGGCCCCAAGACCTGTCTGTCGACACAGGCGCCGGGGGCGTCATCGGGCCCCTCGCTGCGCCCACGCTCACGTTCGAGGGCGCGACGAACGCGATCTCGTTGCGCGGCTCGCTTGGCCGCCTGGTCGTCACGGCCGAGGCGGCGTCGGGTTCAACAGCAATTCCAGACTTTGTACTTTCTGTCGCTCCGGACGCACCGTCACCGCTATCGATTGCGCAGATCGCGGCCGGGCTTGGCTTGTCGTCCGTCAACGCGACGCTCCTCGACATGGGGCTCCCAGCCATCGCGTCCAGCCCCGCGCAAGCGCTGGCGACGCCGCTGCGCAACGCCGTGCTGCGGTTCACGCAAACCACCGTCGAGGTTGGCGGCGAGGTCACGCTGGTTGAGCCCGAGGGCCTGGTTGTCTCGCTGCGCGTGACGATCGACTTGCGCGTCGGCGGTGCTGCCGCACTCAGTCGACTGGAGCTGCGGCTACAAGTGCAGGGCCGCGGAACCGTCATCGTGGCGGGTCCTCAGCCGTGCGCCCAGGAGCTCGACGTGACGCTACGTCTCACGCAGCTGCCGGTCGGACTCGGGGACGTCACGGAGTCGGGCACGGCTTCGGTGCGCTGCGCGCCGTCGGGTGCGGTGCAGTCGATCACAATCACCTCCGCACTGCCGAGCCGGACCATCGACATGGCTCTCGCGGGGGAGCTGGCTCTGCCGCCCGCGGAACTGTCGCTGCAGTTCGTGAACGGGGCCTGGAGCCAGCTCACGATCGGTGCTGACGTCCCCGGCCCCCTCCGCGCCAACGTCTTGCTCGACCTGGCCGCGCCTGGAGCTATCACCGCATCCACACCGACGGTCGAGCTCGGCCCTCTCCCGTCTGGCCCAACCCTCACGATGGGCTCCCTGTTCGCGTCCATCGGCTCGGCGTTTGAAACGGCGCTGCGTGCCGGAGGCGTGCCGGGCGTGCCGGACGCCGACCTGGCAGCGATCTCTGTCAGCAACTTGCTGATCGACGTCGACCCGGAGCTGAACAGCTTCACGTTCGCCGCAACGCTCGCGATCGGGCTCGACATATCCCTGGAGGTCGAGATCGAGTTGTGCGGGGTCGCTGCTCAAGCAACGACGGCGCGACGCGTCATGGCCGCCGCAGCGGCGGGTGCGCGGCAGGCGCGGCGCGTGCACGCAGAAAGCGCGGCGTTGTTCGCCATGCCGTGGTACAAGAGGCCTGTGGTGGCGCCTGCGGAGTTGCTGGCGCAGGAGGGCCTTGGGGCGATGCGGTCGGTCGACGCGGACATGCTGGCCCTGGTGCCTTCGGAGGGACAGCGGCCTTCGTCGCAGGAGACGCGCTCGCGGCTCCTCGCGGCGCAGGGCGCGGAGGTGGTGGTGGTGACGCGCCTGTACGTCAACTTCGTGGGAGGTCAATTCATCCAGCTGTCGTTCTCCGCTGGGACGGTGTGCGGCGGGACTGGACGGTTCCCCGTGCAGGGCTCCGTCGACCTCCCCTTCCTGGGCGTGCAGCAGTCCCTGTCGGGCGAGGTTCAAGTCGACTGCAGCGGACAGACTGTCTCGGACTTTGCGGCCGCCCTGAACATCCCCTCGGCGTCCTTCGACGCCGGCACCTTCAACTTCGACCTGCCGTCGCTGACGCTCACGTTCCGCGCCAGCACGCGGGCCTTCAGGGCGTCTGCGCAGCTGCCTGCGTCGGTCGTCGCGCAGCTGAGTTTCCGGCTGGGCGACACGGCGGCTCCCAACGTCGTCGCAAGTGTCGACAGCAGGGTCGGCACGATCAGCCTGGGCGATCTGCTCCCCGTTCTCGGACCCGGAGTGACCGGGGTGCTGGGCTCTCTCGGCGTCCCTGGCTTCGGAACAGCGCTGAACAACTTCCTCGTCGAGAGGCCTGCGTTCCTGGTCGCGCCCGGCGAGTTCGGCCTCAACGCAGTCGTCCTGGTCGGCGTCGTGCGGGTCCGCGCCTTCTACGAGGCGACGCTTGACTTGCAAACCCCTGGAGCGACGTACGTCATGACGGAGTTCGTGAGCAGCATCTCGTCGCCGTACATCGACACCACGATCCAGGGCGCGGACCCTTGCGCGGGCGGCGGTGCCTCGCTGACGGTCAAGGTACGCGGCCTTGAACGAAGACGCACAAGCGCCACGTTCTCCTGTATGTATGTTTCCCGGTCATGATGTGCCATGTCCCTGCACACGACGTGCCCCGATCGTTTCCGCATCGTGCAGGTGCTGTTCAAGACATTGCCCTTCGGCCTTGGAACCATCAACCTCGAGGGCGGCATTCAGATGATCTGCGAGGGCAGCGCTGCCGTGGCATACGAGGTGTCGATGGACCTGGAAGCAAACGGCATATCGTTCCGGCCGTTCATGATGGTCGACGTCGACTTCGCCGACACCCGTCTCGGGTATCTGTCGTCGGACAACGTCGTCAAGGCCGGCGGCACCGTCGGCGTGCTGCGCGGGGCCCTGGCCATCCCGCTGGACGACCCCGCCAGCTCCTACATCATCCTCGAGACGCCGCACGCAGTGGCGCTGGGCGCGACGCTCGCGGGGGTCAGCCCGACGTTCGAGCAGGCCATGCAGGAGATCGGCATCCCGGGCGTGGAGGGGAGCCCGGACGGCATCATCGTGCAGGGACTGTCGCTGGAGATAAGCCCGACCGTCTTCGCCCTCGACACGGCGTTCGAGATCGCGGGCACGTCGCTCGAGGTCGTCCTCGAGGCCAGGAAGGTCGAGAGCTCGTGGACCATGGACATGGTCGCGCTCAACGGGCGCTCGGCGTGCAGCGGCAATGCATGCCTGATCGCCTTCGACCTGCAGGCTGTGCGTCCCTGCGGCGCCGACACGAGCACCACCGTCACGTTGCAGCTCTCGGATATGCCCGCGGGCCTGCCGGATCTTGCAGCGTCCGGCACAGCGGAGCTCACGTGCGCCGGGATCCAGATTCGCGACTGGACGCTGCTGGTCTCCGCCCAGCTGCAGGCCGACTTCACCGTGCTCTCCGACCCGCTCATCGCCATCCGGAACCCCTCGGTGTCGATGAGGTACGCTTCGGGTCCGCGGTCCGTCGCCCTGACGATTCCGTTCTCCGACCTCTTTGACGTGCGGCTGACGTACGAGCTCGGCCTCGCGTCCTCGGCTCGGCTCGCGCTCGTACTCAACGCCGATGCGTCGCTCCTGAACAGCCTCTCGAGCCTCGGGAGCGTCGTCGACACGACCCTGGGGGGTGTGTTTGCAAGTCCCCCTGTGCCCCCCTTCTTGGTCGGGATCGCTCGCTCCATCCTGGACGCCAGCATGCTGCGCGGATCGATAGCGCAGCTATCCATCTCGAGCGCCGGGCAGCTCACGGTGTCCGTGCAAGGTACCCTGCGCGTCTTCGGCGTCAACGTCGTGACCACGGTCGCCGCCACCAGGCCTAAGGGTGGCAGCTGGATCGGCTTCGCCGGGCTGGACGCCGCCTCTTTGGTCGACGCGCTGCCAGGCCCCGGGGCAATCATCGGGAGCGCGATCCGTTTCCTCGGGCTCGCTGAGGGCTTCATAGGCCTGAGTACGGGGCAAGGCGACTTCGAGGTGCCCCCCTCCGACCCGACACTCGGAGGCGATGCCCTGCAGATCAGTCTGCCGACGTCAGCCAAGTTCCTGACGTTGACGCCGGGACTGACCCTGCCGTTCGTCAGGGACCTGCAGAGCTCTCTTGGGCCTGTGCTAGCGTCGCGATTCACGGACGACCTGCAGCTCTCGGTCGACTTCCCGAGCGCCGCATCGTGGCGCGCGACCATGGTGCTGAACGCCAAGTTCTACCTCATACCGACGTTCATGGTAGAGCGCATCAAGCTCGGGCTGGAACTCGGGGGCGGCGGCGTGGCGGTGTCGTTCGCGTTGGACTTCTCCACCAACCTCGGGCTCTTCCAGCAGGAGATTCAATTCACGGGGAAGATCGAGTACGCCCCTGCGCCGTCGAACTCCCTCGGCGGGTCCTTGATCATGGTCTCTCAAGATGGTCTGCGTTTCACCCCGTCCTTCACCCTCTTCTCCCTGGCGATGGGCGCGTCGTTCCAGATCCCGTCCCTCGCACCGACGTCGATCGAGATGGCCGGCGCGGGGAGGTATGGGCAGTCGAGCGCAGAGGGCGCGCTGCTGGTGGACTTCAACCGTCCGCAGGACACAGCCTTCTCGTTGCGCCTCAACAACGCCCGCGTCGACTTCATCGTGCAGGCGATGCTGGACGACCTCCTGTACGCCCTGGGCTCCCCGCCCGTGACGCTCCCGCCGATCGTCACGTTCCCGCTCTCGTTTATACAAGTGGGCTCTCTCGACATGTCCTTCAATCCGCGCCCCAACGACATCGAGTACGCCGGTGTGCGGATTCCGAGCGGCGTCTTCTTCGAGGCCTTCGACGTGGCCTACTTCTTCATGCGCGCCCAGAGGATCCTCTTCCGACTCAGCGAAAGCACAGTCCAGGGGGAGTTCGTGGCGGCGCCGGCGCGCGTCGGCAGCCTTCTGTCCATCTCGCGCTCGTCAGCGGACAGGTCGAACGGGCCGTTCTGCAGCTTCTTCGCCGTGACCAAGTCCAGCCCGCGCTTCGAACTCGAGTGCCAAGGGTTCCTGTCCGTCCTGGGCATCTCGCTCGAGGCGCGTATTCGCGCCACGCACGCATCGATATCTTTCGTCGGGCGCTTCAACTTCTTGAACGCGATTTCCGTGGAGCTCGGCCTCGACGGCAGCCTCGAGCGGGTCAACCGAGGCTCTCCAGACCTGGGCGTGACCTTTGCGTTGTCGTCGACGAACGGGCTGCTGGCGGACCTCGTCAGAGTCGTGCAGCGGGAGGTCGTGCGGCTCGTTCGCTTCATCGGCGACTCGCTCAAGAAAGAGGCGCGCTGGCTGGCAGACAAGGCGATCGAGGTGGCCCGGGAAGGCGTCCGCCAGGCAAAGGCTGGTCTCGAGAGAGCGAGGCAGGCGGCACAGCAGATCATCGCCGAAGCGCGGAAGGCGTTGGAGGCCATGGATCGTGCAAGGCGGGAAGCAGAGGCCAGGTACAACCGTGCCAGGCGGGAGTGCTCGTGGAAGAAGCCATGGAAGTGCGCCGAGGCGGGCGTCATGAAGGCCGGAGCCGTAATGATGCAGGGCTTTAGCTTCCTCGGAGGAATGATGGTCCGGATGGCGGAGGTCACGTCCAACTTAATCATCGACGCAGCCAAGTGGGCGCTGACGCAGGCCGAGAGACTGGTGGTTGCCGTCCTGGAGAAGGCCGCCGGGTTCATGGAGGGCGTGATCGAGCTGATCTTCGACGTGCTTGCACGGATCGCCGAGAACCTCCCAGTCGCGGAGCTGATGCGCGTGCTCAACATCGCCGAGCTGCGCGCCACGGGGCGCATTGGCAACGGCGCAGTGTCTCTGGGCTTCTTCTGCCGCGCGGAGTTCTTCTTCACAGGCATGCGGGCGTTCGGGTTCAACGCCCGCCTCGACGTCGTCGACATGGTGGTGCAGCTCGTCTCAATGATGAAGAGCAAGATTCAGAACATGATGAAGAGTCTGTTCGACAAAATCATCCCCGACTTCGGCGTGCGGCGGTCACGCGTGCTCCTGGGAGACGTGGAACCCGCGACGCCCCGGAGCGATCCCGAGAGGTTCATCTGGGCCGTTTACCGGGTCGTTGCGGCCGACAAGAGCATGGACGAGCTCTCGGAGATGTACGACGAATACGTCAAGGGGCCGGCCCAGAAGGGGGGCTTCCTCGCGCACGCGGCACCGGTCATGGCGCAGCGGCGGCGGGCGCAGTCGTCGAACTTGGTGGCGTTCCTTGCGGCCGAGGGCGTCAACATCACGGAGCCAACGGAGGAGGACAAGAGGCTGAGCGCCTTCGTCAACGACTTCGACGTCGACGCGTTCGAGCTGCCCCCTGATGCGACGCTGCCGACGGGCGAGAAGCTCTCCAAGGACTTCAATCCGGACAACTACACCGCCGCGGTGTTCGACTTCAGCGTGAGTGCACCCCCCTGCACCTCTCCTTGCTTCCGGTCGCTTGCGGAAGCGCTGCAGCCTGGTCTCCGCTTGCCATCAGTACTGGACTCGCGACGCTCTTTCTTGCCGTGCCATTTCCGCCGTCTTGCTGGACCTGCTGGTTACACTTTCCACAACGTTGTGTTTCCCGAGCCCTCCTTCGCTCACAACCTCACCGCGCTCCTCGGTCCTCCGCCCTGGCCGCAGAACATCTTGGACAGCGCAGAGCAGGAGGAGCGCGAGGCCTCAAAGGCCTTCCAGCCCGCCGGAAGCAGCGTGTACCCCCCGCCCCGCGAGTACCAGGAGCTGCAGGAGGCTACGTTCGAGTCGGTCGCAACCGTGTTCTCGTTCCCGGTCGGCATTTCCAACACGACGTCTGGAAACGCCACGGCGCCGGCAGCGACGTCCGCGCCGGCGAGCAACGCGAGCTGCGTGTCGCCTGCGGGCAACTACAGCGGCGACGGCGTGCACGCCGTGAGCGCGTTCGCCGCCGAGCGCCTGGCTGCAGCGGGTCTCCGGTACTCGCCCGCGGAGGGCCGGGTGTTCAAGATCGACGACCCTATCTTCGCGAATGCTTCGGCAAACAGCAGCAGTGCTGCCAACGGCTCGGCTGGCTGCGTGCCGGCGGCGATCGACCTCGAGGCCGTCGAGCGGGAGCTGGAGCACCACCTCAAGCACGAGGTGGCGCTGCACGCGTTCCAGAACGGCCTGCTCTCCGCACGGTCATTCACCATCACCGTTGCCAACAACAACGCAGCCGGCAGGCGCCGGCTGGCGCAGACGAGCTCCAGCGCGCGGCAGGTGGCCATCACCTTGCAGAACGTGGTCACAGCCGACGTCACGTCAATCAAGGGCTTCCTCCTCGTAGGGTCGTGGGCGGACTCCTTTTCTCAGGCGCTGGCAAACACGACCGTCGCGTCAGGCGGACAGCCCGTGTCTTTGGGCTCCGCTGCGCTCGTCGCTGCGACCGCGTCCACGACGTCGAGTGCGGTCTGCACGTCGCTCACGACGTCGGCTCTAGCAGCAACTACGCCCGCGGCAACAACACCGACAACGACAGCAGCAGCGACCACCTCGCAGCCGGCCGCGAGTGCGCCGAGCGCCACGGTCCCGAGTGCGCCAGCTGGGGACGCACCGGCTGGGGACGCGAACCAGTCACCTGCGCCCACTCCTGCGGCGACCGCCGACGGGGGAGGCGGCGGGCTCGTCACTCCTTTCGCCGTGGTCGCCGGCGTCCTTGGCGCCGCCATCATCGGCCTGCTGGTCGGTGTCGTGCTCATGCACGTGCGCTCTGTGCGGGCGCGCGAGGCGCAGTCCCGGACGTCGGCCGACGGCAGCTCGCAAGTGCTGGGCGGGCTGCCGGCACGGCCGGCGAGCGCGCGGGCTGCGCGCCGAGTGGCACCAGCAGACGCACCGTCGCGGGGTCTCCGGAACGTCCTGTTTGGTGCGTGGGTATCCTGGGTTGGCGGGACGCGTCAGCATCCAGAGGTCAGTGCAAGGCGCGCGCGCGTCTCTACACCGGGCGTGAGCGACGACGGCTCCCACGGCCTTGATGCCGTGATTCCCGCGCATCCTGACCAGAGAACCAGCTTAGGATGCTAAGCCCGGCACAGTTCCCATGATAATTGAATTAGCACACCAACATGAACATCATTCATCGTTGACAAGACGTTGCGCGGCGCACGGCCGCTGCGCACACTACAACGCCCGCTCGCGATCTCATCACGGGCAGTCAGCAGCTCTGACTGCACACTGAGCGCACGGTCCAGGAGCGCACGGTACCGTGCGATTGTGCGAGCAACTTTGTGCCTCACGCGAAGAGACACGTCGTGCGGAGCGCACCTGTGCTCTGACGCAGCGAGACACACCGTCGACTCTCAATCGAATCACTGCCCTGTATTTCCCTTATGTATTTCCCTTATTTCCTCTACGAAGCGAGTCAGTCGGCTCGCTCTGGCAACATCTTCACCGCAGACGTGAATTTCCACCAATTCGTTGTGAGTCCGGTCTTCCCACAGGTCCCTGAATGCGTCAGTATGTACAACCTATTGCCAACGCTGCAGCCTCGCGCAGGTGCTACTGCGGCGTCGAGCCGCCCGTCCCGCACCGCAGCCGTCACCGCCGCTGCAGCCTCACGTGCACTCCGCCCGCCGGCGACGTCGTCAGCCCCGCCGTCATCTTCAGCTCCTCCTGCCCCGGCGTCAGCTCCAGCTTATACCCCCCCAGCACCCGCATCAGCGTCAGACTCGCCTCCTCCAGCGCGAACTGCTTCCCGATGCAGCCACGCGGTCCCGCGCCAAACGGCATGTACGCCAGCTCCTCCCTGGGCTCCGGCCCGCTCCCGTCCAGCCCGTCGGGCAGCCACCGCTGCGGCCGGAACGCCTCCGGGTCGGTCCAGTAGCGCGGCGAGCGATGCGCGGAAAAGATGCACATCATGACGCGGTCGCCCTCTCGGACGCGGTACTCGGCCCCGGAGCTCGTCGTGATCGTTGTGTCGGCCGTCACGAAGCGCGCCGTGATGGGCGCGGGCGGGTAGAGCCGCAACGCCTCGTTCATGCACGCCCGCGTGTAGGTGCACTTCGGGATGTCGTCGTGCGTCGGCGTCCTGCCGCCGAGCACCTCGCGGACCTGCAGTCATCGCCCGCACGTGGCTGTGCCGCCTCAAGGCGCCGTGCACCGCCGCAGCTGAAAAACACCACGCATTACTACCAAACAGACCAAACAAACAACCACAAAATCAAACAAACGAACCGCAAGGGGGATCGGGCAGCTCGGCATCGATCGCGCGCACACCTCCGTCGCGACGCGCTCCTGCTCTTCCGGATGCTTCGCCAGGAGGTACGTGGCGAAGGCCAGCGCGCTCGCGGTCGTCTCGTACCCCGCCAGCAGAAACGTGCGCGCCTGCGCGATGACCTGGTCGCGCGACAGCTGCGCGCCCGTCCCACGGTCCTTCGACGCGGCCATGCGCGCCAGGAAGCACCCGGGCGCCGGCGCGCCCCCGCCCCCGCCCCGCCCCTCCGCCGCCGCCAGCAACTCCTCCCCCTTCCGCGTAAGGTACGCCCGGCACCGCAGGTTGCGCTGCAGGCGCTCGTCCGGCACGTGCCGCGCCAGCGGGTGCAGCAGGTGCCGCAGGGGCGGGAAGATGGCGATCAGCGTCATGTACGGCGTCCGCATCACCGTCGACGTGTTGAAGAACTCGCGCGCCGCCTGCAGGATCTCGGTGTCGCCCGCCGCGCCGTCCGCAGCGGCGCGCTGTGCACCGAACTCGACGCCGAACGCCGCGGGGCCCACCACGTCCATCGTGAGCGCGCCGTACGCGCGCGCAATGTCGATCGGCGCGCCGTCGCGCGCCGCGCTGTCGAGCACGGCCAGGAGGCCGTCGACGGCGGTGTTCATGAGGTCGGTGTACTTTTCCACTGCGGAGTCTGACCCGAGGAACGCGGCCCACACCGCGCGGACGCCCTTCCAGGTGTCGCCGCGCTCGAAGACGACGCCCATGGCCTCAATGCGGCGCTCGCGCGCGGAGCCCGGGAACAGGCGCGTGAACCCGTCGCCTCGGTGCGCAAAGGAGCGGTGGTCGGCGCGGGCGATCTGGTGGAAGGCCCGCGCGTCGCAGAAGGCCAGGAAGTGCGTAGAGGGACCCAGGAAGAGGCGCACGACCTCGCCGTGCTGGGCGTGGAGCTTGATGAGCGCCTCGTGGAAGCCACCGTACTTGCGCAGCAGGCGGAGGTTGCCTGCAACGGGGATCGTGGCGGACGGTCTCGCGGTCCCCGCGGCCGCTGGTGGAGCAGCTGCTCTCTTCCCACTGGGCCTGCACGCACCTGTGAAGAGCTCGGGGGGCGGCCCGGGCACGTTGCGGAACTTGGTCATCGAGAGGACGATCGGACGACACCCCCACGCGAGGATGAGCGCGACGACGAGCCCGAGGGCCGCGACAGTCACCCCCTTGGGTGACAGCGCCACATCAGGCAGGCCCAGCGGCCGGATGGCCGCCTCCAACGCGTCCACGACCAGCATTGCTACGGTCGTGCCTCCCGCAGTGGCAAGAGCGCACGCCCCCTCCCCCTCTTCCAGACACTCGACCGCACACGGCGTGATTCTGTGTCTGACACACACTGTCAGTCCCCCCTGCTCGCGCAAAAGCTGAGTCAGTCGTGCTGGGGCTACACGGGATCGGGGGCGCGGAGACCGGAGCGGGGGGGGAGTTCGCCCTCGGCCGCAGCGCCTACCCATCTCTCGGACGGTTGAGTTGGTGCGTCCGTCTGACGCAGAGCGAACGAGATTGCTGCGGGCCGTAGGACACGGCCGAGGCAGGGTGGCCGAGAGCAACGACAGCGGCGGAGCACCCGCACGCGCGAGAGACATGCCAAGCGAACATGTCGACGTTGGGCCACCACGTGAACGTATGAGAGCGCTTTTGCTGTGTGGGCGACAGCGCCGGCTCGAGCGGGGCAGTTCAGCGCCTCCGCCTCGGCCCCCGCTCACAGCGGCTCAGCATCGCGGCGCGCCGGCACCGCCACCCGCGGCACGTGCCAGCCCCGCGCGAGCGATGCGGTGACAGCTCTCGCGCTGCCGCAGCGGTCCTCGTGTTCGTTACAAGCGCGCGGCGCGAGCCCGGGACAGCTCAGCCCTGCGTGGCCTCCTCGAAGTTGTCGACGAGGTCCGGCACGTCGTCGTCGTCGTCATCCACCACCCCCGAGGCCCCCGCGCCGCCCGCAGCGCCGCCCTTCTGGAACGACGCCAGCATCTCCTGCAGCGCCTGCATCTGCATGGCGTTGCCGCCAGCGCCCTGCTGCAGCAGCTGCGGGATCATGTCGGCCAGCGACCGCGTCACCGGCGTCCCCGACACCACGTACGTGTTCGCTGCGATCGAGGCCTGGACCTTCGGGTTCTTGAACTGGATGACGCTCTCCGACTGGAAGATGTTGACCTCCTCGATGCCTGCGGGCGCCGACGGGGGTCGCGGGGCCGCTCAGGGACGGCGGTGTGTGTGTTGCTGGGGCACGTGCAGGTGTGCGGGCGCTGGCGGGCGGGTGGGCGGCTGGCGGCGTTGCGGGCCGCGGTTCAGGGGGGCGTGCGAGGTGGCGGGGCGCCTGCGAGGAGCGGCGAGCGCGGCGGGTGGCTGGTTGCGCTCGGAGGGCGAGCAGCAGCAGGCGGGCAGCGCACCAGGGATGACATTGACGCCCATGCGCTTCAGCGTGGATTGTAGGCGCTTGTCGTCCGCGCCCGCCGTCTTATGGACCTTCTTCTGCGACCTGCAGGCAGCGTGGCGCCGCGGCGGAGGGCGGCGTGGGCGTGCCGGTCCAACCTGGGCTCAGGGCCGCGCTCCGTCGTGCGCGCGGCACGGTGGACGATCGCCGGCAGCGGCGCCGGCTCTCGCGTCAAGGCTTCGTCAGGCATCCCGGGGGACCGCGGGACCGACGCGCGTCCGCGGTGTGGGCGCGGAGGCGCGCGAACAGCACTGGCTGGGCGGACGGGCAGGGGCGGCGGGGGGCGGGCTCCATGGGAGGCCGTGGTCGGCGGAGGGAGAAGCGTGGGTCTGCGTGGCTCTGTGCGGCGACAGGCTGGATCGGGGCAGGCCTCAGCTGGCCGCGAGAGGGGTTGGCGGGCATTCGAGCGGGCCGTGCTAGGCGCTGCACGCTGCTGCCGTTGGGCACTTGCGCGGATACGAAGTGCGAGGCGCGACTTCTGTTGAGGGGAGTGAAAGCGCAGGCACGTACCTCCGGACCCCGCCCTTCCCTGACCGGGCTGCGCCGGCAACGGCCTGGAGCTTCTTCAAGTCCATCTGCGATCGCAGGGAGGGGCGCCGCGAGCAGGGTCGGCGTCGAATATCGGGACGCGGCTTCGCGCGATGCGCGCGCGTTTTTGGAGCCCCCACGAGGGCGACGACGGGCAGTCTGCAGGCGGCAAGGGCGTGCTCAGGACACCCCGCGCATTACCTGTCCCTCCCTGCCGCCTCCTTATCCGGGTGGTCTGAAACAGAGGGCGACGGCGCGCGCCCCCGGCGGCCCTTGTCCCCCAAGCGACCAGGCGGGCCGTGTGTGTCTCCACTCAGGGGGACTGCCCCGTACGGCCGACTGCAGCTACCATGGGCCACTGGCGCGATCCGCGCAGGTACTCTACACCCGCTGCATCTCGCTGGGCGCGTCTCCAACCTCCGGGGGCGCACACACCGCACACCGCGCCTGGTAGGTCGTCGCGGCACCACCGCCGCGCGGATCCGAGAGAACCGCATCGCACCGTCTGGTCCGACTGGCCCAGCAGCAGCAGAGGCTGGACGCCCAGCGGCCAACGGGCATCATGCTGCGCCAGGCCGCAGTGCGTGCTGCCAGGGCCTTGCCCGGCGCGCAGGTGCTTGCCTCGTCGCGCTGCGTACGGTGCGTGTCTCACGGGTCGGCCGCGACGCGCGACGACGCCCAGGTAGACGACGCTGCGCTCGAACCGCGCGAGCCCGCCGCGGCGTCCCAGCCCGCAGCGTCGCGCGACGCTGCGTGGCAGCAGCTGGCCTTCCCGGGGCTGCGCGAGCACGTCGAGAAGCTGATAGGCGACAACTTCAAGAAGACGTACGGCTTGGACCAGGCGAAGCTGTTCAAGCTCGTGGCCGAGGCGTCCTCCAAGGAGGAGGCCACCGAGGCGCTCAACACCATCCACCGCGTGCGTCCCCGCGCGGCCTCCCGAACGAACAGCCTGGCGCCGCAATCCACGTCTCCGCGCGGCATCTAGCTCGCGGAAGGTCTCCGCGGGCACGAGATACCGGGTTCCGATCCCGTACCCCTTGAACGCCGATACACACTGGCGGTTCGCTTCGGTGCGTCATCGCAGGCGTGGGTGTGGCGGACGGCGGCGCCGCGCGGCTCCCTGCGGCGCTGGCACAACGCGCTCGGCTTCGAGTTCGTCGACAAGTGCATCGGGATCGGGGCCAGCGGCGTTGCTCTTGACGCAGCGCGCCGCGCGTGGGAGGTGGGGTTCGTCGTGCGCGCGCCGCTCTTCCACCGCGTCATGGAGGTGCGTCCGCTCCGCACGTGTACGCGCTCCGCGCGCGGCGCGAGGTCCCGGCGACCCCCCGCGCCGCCCGGCGCACACTCGCGCCGACAACGGGCAGCGGCAACGCGCGTGCAGGCGATGATCGAGGAGGGCGATGTCGCGGGGCTGATCATGACGTACGCCGCCATGAAGGACAACGTCGTGGCGCCCACGCAGGCCACGGGGGCGATCCTCGTCGGCGGTTTGCGGGGCGCCGGGCGGGAGGAGCTGGCCGCGGCCGTGGAGGAGGAGTTCAAGCTCAACGGCGTGCCGATCGCGGGCGCGGATGCGTGACGCGGGCGCCGGTGTTGAAAGCCCTAGCGAGCCGCGGGTGTTGCGGCTGGGTGGACGCACATGCAGCGGCTCGCTAGGGGCGATTCGACAGGGCTTTCTTCTCACTGGGGCAGCTTGCCCGGGTTCGCACTGGGAGGCGTGTGACCCGCGGGTGGAGCGGTGCGTCGGCGCTCAGTGGCGGTCGCTACGCCGTCCTTTGCGCAAGCGGCGGGCCGGGCAGCAAGTGTCGTGTGCTGTGCGGCACGTGTGCTGCGGGTGCTGGCGCCACGGGGGGCAGACGCCTCTGCCGGCGCTTGCAACTCCCCCACGCGAAAGAAGCAGTCGATGCACGCGCGCAAGATGCGAAATGCGGAAGACAAGCAGAGGATGGAGCGAAACCATATTCATTACTATAATTATTAGAATCACTGGATTGCGGGCCGCAGATTCAGCGGGCTGATGGGCAGGTCAGGCCAGCAGGCGCGGCGGCCATCGCAGGCGACTCTCGGGGCGGACACGGCGCTGTTGGTCAGCTAAGTCGTGCGCACACATCGGTGATCACATCCTGCGATGCGACCTCGTAGCGGTTCGCTGCAGGTTCAGATCAGAGTTTCGCAGACAGCGACTGGCCACGCATGCGGACACGCGTCGCTGCGGCGAAACGGCACGAGCGGGGAGGGTGGGGGCGCGGGTGGGTGGAATGGTCAAAGTAATTTGCGTGGTCTTTCAAGGTGTGTGACTGTGTAGTAGCAGTTCGCCGCAGGGTGCGGGAGTGCTGTGTGTGTGTGTGTGTTGGGGCGCGCTCGGGGAGCGGTTCAGTGCGTCGCGTCGGGCTGGCGGATCATGGGCACCATGCCGTAGGGCGCGGTGTCGAGCGCCTCGTCGGCGTTGCCGTACTTCCTTGGGGTGCTCGCGTCGCCGCGCGCCTGGAGCGCGCTGCCCTTCCCGTCGACCTGCACGCCACGAGTCACGACACAGCGCTTTTGAGCGCCCGCTACACGTACAACATTTCCTTTCACCTCTTTTCGCAACGCCAACGCCCCAACACAACGACCCGGCCGGGACACAGCCGGTGCTCAGCCGGGGCGGTCAGGTCTCCAGGCGGCAGCGCTCGCGGCCGCCGTGGCCGGCCCAGGCGCGCGCACCTTGATGAAAGGTCCTGGCATCATTCTGCGGCTCGAGGCCGCCCGCAGGGCGTCGTCGTGCCCGCCGCCGTTCCGCGACTCCTCCGCCATGCGCCCCGCGACGCTCGAGAACGTCGACGGCCGCTCGCCCTCGCTCCCGGCGTCCTCAACCACCGACAGCACCGGCCGCCTCTGCCCGCCAGCTTCGACGTCCTCCGCGACCGACTCGTAGCCCGTGTCGCTCCCGGAGTCGCTCTCCGTGTAGTGGCTGCCGGCGGGCGACCGCGAGCGGCCTCCGCCGGGGCTCTCGAGCCCGCTGCGCTTCGACAGCAGCGCGCGCGACGACACGGCCGCCGAGACCGCCTCGCCGAGGTCCTCGCTGGTGTTGTTGCGCTTGCGCAGCGTCTGCACGCGCAGGAGCCGCTCCGAGCGCAGCTCGCGCCGCGCCATGACCGCCTCCATCGACCCGGCCATGCCCTGTTTGCTCTTCCCGGCCAACATGGCCTTGAACTTCGACTCCGCGTTCGACTCCTGCGCCGCCTGCTGCTGCTTCTTCTCCTCCTTCTGCTTGAGCCGCTCGCGCCGCGCCTTCATCTTCGCCTCGTGCTCCGCGCGCCCGCCGCGCCGCTTCTTCTTCTCCCCCGACGCCTTGGAGTCCGTCGTCACCTGCGAGTCCTCCGTGGCCGCGGACGCGCCGGACGCCATGCGCTTGAACGACAGGCCCTTCTTGAAGGACGCCGCGCGCTCCGCGAACGACGCCTGCTTCGAGAGCCCCGGCGAGCTCTGCTGCTTTGAGCCGTCGGCGGCGGCCTCGCGGTGCGACTCGGCCGCGCTGCCGGCTTGGGTTCCGGGCGAGGACTTGACGTGCGCCGACGACCCCGCCGCGCTGCTCTTCTTGCGCGAGAGCGTCCGCGCCAGCGGCTGCGGGCTCGCCGACGTGATCTCCGGCTCCGCGGCCGCGCGCTGCAGGCTCATCGTCCGCAGAGACGCGCTGGCGCTGAACACCGACCTCCGCGGCTCCGGCTCCGGCTCCGCCTTCGACTCGGGCTGCGGCTTGGGCGTCGCGGGGCCCGCCGGCGACGCCGCCCGCGGCGGCGGCGACACAACCAGCCGCTTGGACGTCGACTCCTTGCGCTCGAGCGTGCGGCCCGGCGCGGTCTTGTGCTGCACCGCCGGCGAGTTCTCCACGGCCTGCTTGATGGCCGCCATCCGGTGCACCTCGCTCGGGCCCGCGTCGCCCGCGTCGGGGGCAGCGCGCGGCGCAGCGCGCCAGTCCTGCGACCGCCTGTTCCGCGCCGACGCGACAACGCTGCGCTCCGGCGGCTGCGCGACCGGCGCGGGCTGCTCGACAGCGTCCGCCTCGGGCACCCAGCTCGCGGCCCGGCCGCTGCGGCGTGCGGACGACACCCGGGACGCGCCGCGCCAGTCTGCGTCCTTGTTGCCGCCCTGCGAGGCGCGCTTCTCGACGGCGTCCGCCTCGGGCACCCAGCTCGCCGCGCGCCCGCTCCTCCGCGACGAGCTCGCGCGCGGGAGCGCGTCGCGCACGCGCCCGCTCGACCGCCGGCGCTCCAGGCTGCCGCGGTGCCCGCCCTCCGCTTGCGCGAAGTACCCCGCGACGCGGCTGTTCTGTTCCTCGCGCGCGCCCAGGTCCTTCGCGGTCCGCCCGCTCGAGCTCCTCTTCCGCGTCAGGTCGCGCCGGCCCGAGCTCTGGCGCCGCGACGGAACCTTGCGCAGCGCGTCCTCGGCGTCGAGGTTCGCCGAGCCGGTCTTGCTGCTGCTGCCGTTGCGCGTCAGGGCGCGCATCTCGCCCTCGCCCGCGCTCAGCTGCCGGTTGCGCATCTGCCGCCCGAGTCGCGTGTTCTTGAACGACGGAATGCGCTTGCTGTTGCCACCGCGCGACGACGCGCGCTGCGGCGCCGCGTTGCGCTCGTGGCGGCTCAGGTCGCGCTGCAGGCGCGCGGGCGGCGACTGCGACCGCCGCTCGTACATGTCGCGCAGCGACGCGCCCCGGGACACCCGGCTGCCCGCGTGCGACCCCGCAGACGGCCCGACGGGGCGCGCCTCCTTGGTGGCCTCGCCCTCCGACGTCGACAGCCGGATCTCGTCGACGTTGATCTGGTGCGACTGCACGCGCGTCAGCTCGCGCTCGCGCGCCGCGGGGCCGTCGCCGGCCCCGCGCGACGCCGAGACGTTGAGGCGCGTGCGCGACGCGCCCGCCCGCACGTGCGCGGCGCGGCCGTCGTCGTGCGAGGCGCGCACGTCCGAGAACTCCATGCGCTGCCGCGAGCGGTTCCACCACTGCACCGACCGGTTCGTCGCGCCGGACTTGACCGACGGCGCACCGAGGACGGCGCTGTCCTCCGCGGCCAGCCCGCCGTCGCCGAGGTGCATGCGGCGCCGCGAGAGGCTCCGCCCGCGCGACGTCTGCCGGCGGTCCTCCTCGGCGCCCTCGTCGCCCTCCGGGATGTTCGCGCCCCTGCACGGCACGCGGGCGCGCACGCCTTCATGGCTCGCTCGTCGCCAGCGGCTCGCGCGGCGGCCGTCCGCGGCGCCGGCGGTCGTTCGAGCGCGGCGTCGCCAGAGCAGCGGCGGACGCGCTGTGCGTCGGCTGCGAGCTGGCCACCCGCGCAGCCTGGCGAACAGAGGCATTTCTTGGGGCGGCAGCTTTGTTGGATTATCGCTGCCGCCGCAGCAGGGGCGTCGCGCAGAGGTGCGCACCTGGTGTTGATGGTCCTGGTGGCGTCCGAGGGGCGCGAGGCGCCGGACGCGAGGCGTCGGCGCGACCCCGGTCGGCTCAGCACCTTACCGTCGCTCGCTTCGGCCGCCAAGTTCGCCATGACGTTCGCTGGCACGGTGGCGCGGCGCGAGAGCGGCGTGGTCTCGCCGTTGCCCCCGAGGGCGATCGAGCGGCTCGAGACCCCAACCATGGGGCGGGCGTCCAGCCCGGAGGCGCGCGAGTGCCCGCTCCGGAGCATCTGCTGCCTGCTCTGGCGCGACGTGCCGGCGAGCATGCGCCTGCTGACCGGCTTCGGCGTGTGCCCGGACTGCGATCGCGGGATCGGACGGGGCCGGGCGCTCAGCGCGGGATAATCACGTGGCCACCAACAGCACCACGTGGCGCGCGGGCGGCCGGGCGGGGGCGCGCACCATGCGTCCGTCGTCCCACTGGCCTCTCTTCGCTCGGTTCGCGCGGTCGATGTCCTTGATGATCTGCTTCGTCCCCGCCTCGTTGCCCTGCGCCGCCAGACACAGCAGACACTTCACCACCGCCGGGAGCTCCTTCGCGGCCCTCTCCGGCACCGCGCGCGCCGCCACGCTCGCCCTGCAGTTCCATCCGACCCAGGGCGCGCACCAGCGTGGGTTCCGCGGCGCTTCGCCCGACGCAGGCGCCCCGCGAGCGATTTCAGGCGAGCTGCAACCGTCTGCCGCCGCGCGCGGCGCCCGGCCGACGAGGCGCGCCAGCGCCGCCACGCAGCGCATATCCGCGTCGCGGCAGCGCAGTGGGGCCGCCGGCGAGCCGCGTCGCGCCGCGCGCGGCCGCAGCGGCGGGAGGAGCCCTCAGCCACCGCACAGGGGGCACGCCGGCGATGCAGATCGGCCGCTGCACGAGAGCGCGCACCTGTAGTCCACGACGGCGTTCGGGCTGTCCAGGGCAATGAGGCGGCTCGAGGCGCCGCCGTGCACCCTCCTACGGTCGGCTTGGCGCTCTTCCTGGGACGCGAAGGAGTCTTGCCTGCTTCCGAGGCTGTCGTCGTCGAGGTCGAGGGCCCTGGCGCCGGGGCCCTCTGCGGTCGCGGCCGCTGCCATTGTGCGTCACTCGGGGCCTGCGGGGCCGTCGGAGAAGCCCGCGTGCGTCAGCGGCGGCGGGGGCTTTGCTTGGCAAACGTGCGCGCCGCAGCGCGCGGACGCGGCCTCGCGCGGACCGTTCCGCGGGCCCGGTGCGTCTTGCGCGAGTCGAGGTTCAAAACCCGCCGCGCAGGGCCGCGGACGGCGCCCCCGCGCGGCGCAACGGACCGCACAGAGCATCTCCAGGGAGGGGGCCGGGGGGGCGGGAGCCCGGCCCCGAACCGCGCAGGGCTCCCGACCGCGCGGCGTGTCGCGCTGCTGTGCGCGCGGCCCGGGCCCAGCGGTCGCGCAAAGCACGCGGCAGGGGGAGGGTTCGCGCCACCGCCCTGGCCAGGGGCAACGCGCGGTCGCGCAGAGCACCCACCTGCGCTCCGTTGGCGCGCTCGAAGGGATTCGGCGTCTCTCGGGCGGAGAGCGCGTCCACGCGGAGAGCGGCCGCGTCGGTTGCGCCCACGTGGCGCTGGGGCAGAGGTGCACAGGAGAGGTGGTGCTTCGCCGCCGGTTCAATGCAGGAAGAGGGGCGGCTGCTGCACACGGGGGGCGCGGCTGGAATGCGCAGGCGGCGGGGCGCCGCGCGGCAACGCGGGCCGCCCGGGCGGGGAGCGGCGAGGGCGGGAGGTGCGAGATCCCTACCGTGGCCTTGCGTAAGGGCGCCGCGACGCGTGGGGCGACGCGAGGCGGACATTGCGCCGCGGCTGCGCGGCGCCGGATTGAAATTACGAGAACAGGAGTGATTTCAGTGAACGAGAGACACGATGCCGAACCCTATCGTTTTCTTCGACATGGACATCGGCGGCAAGCCGGCCGGCCGCATCGAGTTCGAGGGGCGGCCCCCACGCGGCCCCCCTCTCACAGGGCACGCGCCCGAGCGGGCGCGCCGGCCGTCCTAGCCCCGCACGCGCCCGCGCGGCCGAGCCCAGGGCATGCCGTTGCTCTGCTGCCGCCGTAGCCTCCCGCGGGCGGCCGCAACGGCGCCTTCGGCGCCGCCGATGCCGAGCGCACGGGGGATCCCCCGCGTTCCGCGCAACGTCGACGCACGCCTCGCCCCGGATCTCCCGCGGGCAGCGACCTCGCACCATTCGGTTGACAAGCGCGCGACGACCCGCCCCCGCCCGCAGCTCTACGCGGACTCCGTGCCCAAGACCGCCGAGAACTTCCGCTGCCTCTGCACGGGTGCGCGCCCACCCCCCGGGAAGAGCGCTCTACACGCGCGCCGCGCGAGCTGCAGCCGCCTGGCCAGCAGCTTCTGACGCGTCTCGGGCCCCCGCGGCGCTCCCGCGATCCCTCGCGCCGCCGCGCCGCACGCCCCGGTCGATCCTCGCCGGCGCGGGCGCGTATCATCCCTCGCTGCGGCCACGCGGCGGCACTCGCCGCGCCCTCGCGCCGGGCCCGCGGCCTCGCGTCCCCGGGGCGGCCCCGGGGCGGCCGCGCCGCGCTTCGCCGGATATCCCCCCACTCGATCCCCCGCGTCGCGCCCGCGCGTGCAGGCGAGAAGGGCGTGGGCAAGTCGGGCAAGCCCCTCCACTACAAGGGCTCGTCCTTCCACCGCGTCATCACGGACTTCATGTGCCAGGCACGTTCGCACTCCGCTGACATACGGGCACCCTCGCCGCGAGGATGCTCGAGCGACCGAAATGACGCGCTCCCGCCCCCAGAAGCCCACTCTGCTGCACTGGCACGTCCACGCCGTGACACACACAGCGGCGTCGGCCGCGCGTGACCGCAGGGAGGCGACTTCACCGCGGGCAACGGCACGGGCGGCGAGTCCATCTACGGCATGAAGTTCCAGGACGAGGTGCGCAGCGCACGCGCCCAGCACAGCGCCAACCACCACCCCGCTCCGCCCCGGACCCGCGCGCGACCCCCACGCCTCCCGCGCGCCGCCCCGCAGAACTTCACGCACAAGCACACCATCCCGGGCCTCCTGTCGATGGCGAACGCGGGCCCGAACACCAACGGCAGCCAGTTCTTCGTCACTACGGTGCCCTGCCCGTGGCTGGACGGCAAGCACGTCGTGTTCGGCAAGGTCGTCAAGGGCATGGAGGTCGTCAAGAAGTGCGAGTCCGTCGGGTCGAGCTCGGGCGCCACCAAGCAGCCCGTGAAGGTGGCCGACTGTGGCCAGATCGCCTAAGTGCGCCTGTGTGCGCGACGCACCGAACCCGAGCCGTGTGACGCGACGTGTCTCCTCCCGACGCGCCTCACGCGGCCTGGCGCCGCCACCGCCACCGCCAGAGGGGGGGGGGGTTTGCAGCGTATGTATGCGGGGGTGTGTCCCATGCGTCGCGGCCGGTTGGTAGCGGCGGGCGCCGCGCCGCGCGCGACTGACGGCCGTGCGCCGCGCGAGGGGGCCCGGGGACCGCGGGCGCCGCGGCACCCGCATGCATCAAGTCCCATCCAGTCTCACCCACCGCCACCGACGCCCACCGCGCACGCAGCCCGCCCGCCCGCGCGCGCTCGCTCGCGGCACCGCGAAACGCTAGTAATTCGCTGCAGCCGCGCTCGTGCGCCTCGTGACCACAAAGAAACGGCGTTGTTGTCTCACATCCCGCAGCGAGCGCACCGCAGCCTGCCCAGCTGCCGAGCAGTGCTGCGCCCGGCGGAGCGAGCTGCGTCGCACGTCGTCTCCTCAGCCCGGGACGATTACTTGAAGAACCCGAACGGGCCCTTCTTGTCCGTGGCGCCCTTGCCGCCAATGCCAAACGAGAACGGAGCCGTCTCCTCCTCCTCCTCCTCCTCCTCTTCCTCCTCCTCCTCCTCGATCAGCTCCTCCTCCTCCGCAGCGACGACGTCCTCGACGATCTCCTCGACTTCCTCGACGACGGCCTGCGGAGCGCCCACGCAGCACGTGTGTGTGTCGCAGCGGGAGGCTCGCCGCGGCCATTGTGCGGCGCGGCCGCTCGGCGCGGCTGGGGCGGCAGCGCGCGAGCCGCGCGAGGCACCGCCGCGCCCGCCGGCGCAAAGCACGCGGGGTGCGGGCACGGCGTCACATATAAAGTCGCGGCCAGGGCAGCGGGCGTCGCGGGGCGCGCGGGGCGCGAACGCGGGTGCGCGCGGGGCAGGGCGCACCTCGACAACGGGGGCGACCTCCTCCTCGACGGCCTCCACCTGCGCGTCGCACGGGGCGCGGGAACAAGCAAGTGCCCTGTCGGCGGCGGTTGCTCCTAGCTGGGCGACGCACGGGCCGCGCGGGGCGCGCGGTGGCGGCCGCGGCGGCCGGCGGCGTGCAGGGGCCGCAGCTGCGCGCGGCTGCGCGCGCGGGCGGCGCCGGGGTGCGCGCGCGGCGCCGGGGGCGGCGGTTGGTAGCATAGGGCGCACCACAGGCTCGGGCTCGGCCTCCGCGACGGTCTCGACCTCCTCGACGGCGGGCTCCTCCTCCTCGGCGACGACGGGCTCCTCCTGGGGGCGCGGCATGGCGAAGGTCTCGTTGAAGACCATCTCGAAGGCCGCGGGGCCGTCCTCGGTGACGAAGCGGTTGTCGCCCTCCTCCCACTCCGTGGTGTCACCGGCGATCTTGACGCACTTCATCTCGGTGTCGTCGGTGATGTCGACCTCGGCGGTCCAGTTGTCGCCCTCGCTCCACTCCATGGCGAGCGCGTTGGCCACGTCCCACTCGCCGAGCTCGGCCGTGGAGCCGACGAGGGCCATGGACTCGCCGAACTCGACGTGGCGGTTCACGGTGAACTTCTTCGTGGCGGACGCCTGCGAAATACCCGGGAATGCGCGCGGAATCGCTCGGCGCCGCGGCGGGGACAGGGGGCGCTGCCTCGGCGGCCAACGGCCTCGGGGAGCAGACGTCGCCGAGGCGCCGTCTCGGGGGCGGCACGCGTGGGCATGTGCAGCGAAGAGACGGGTTCGCGCAGGCAAGGCCGCCCTGCCCGCGCGGGCGAGGCGCCAGGCCGCGCACGCCCAGAAGGTGCGCCAGTTCGTGCCCCGGGGCGCGGCGCTGCTCGCGCGGCCAGCTGCGCGCGAATTCCGGCCCTACACATTACGCGTAGGGACGGCCTGGCGCCGGCGCGGCGCGGCGTGGCCCCGGGAGGGCGCAGCGAGGGAACCCTAGAGGCTGCAAGGCAACGCACCACGGTCGAAGTCCTGGTCTTCGGGGCGGCGAAGCGGCCCATCGCACGGCCTGCATTGCGCAAAGGGAAGCCAAATTCGCGACGGTGAGCGCGCCCGGCCGCCGGTGGGTCAAAAGAGGCCCGCCCGCGCAACAATTCCGGCGAGCGCTCCGCGTGGCAGCCCATCACGGCGCAGCGAATGCGCCGCCGGGAATGTCGAGAGCTGGAGAGACACGCTCCGGACATTCGCCGGCACTTGCTGCGACCCAGGGGCCGATCGGCGCGGTCCTCGGTTCGAGCGAGCCGCGGAGGGACCCGCCAATGCGGCGCGCGCACGAGGCGAGGCCCGCCAGATACTCTCCGACATATCGCCGCTGCGCGGGGGTCGCCGCTCGCACTCACCAGCGGCCAGCATCGACGAGGTCATCATGGCTGTGAAGTGAAACGCGACGGCTGATCTGGAGGCTCCGCGGGGCTGGTTACTTCTCGACCGTCCGGGACAGGTGCGACTGGACCATCCGCACCCCACGGGCCGCCCATGCGCCCGCGAGCCGCAGCGCGCGGCCGGCCCCGGGCAGGAACTCCACACAGCCCCCACCTGTCAGGGCACCCGCCCTGCGCGGCCGCCGGCGACCCCAAGCGGCCCCCGCGGCGCCCCGCCGGCCACTCCCGGGTACCACAAGCGCCGTCCAGCACGCAGGGCTGTTCCAAGTGGCACGACGCGATGAACACGGCAACTTGCTCCCCGATGGCAGCCCCTGTGGCGCCGGGCGCCGCGGCCGCGGCTCGCTCCGCGCGCCTGCCGGCGCTGCCTGTCAGGTAGGCCGTCGCGGCATCCCTCGCCGCGCGAATCGCGGTTGTCACCGCCGTTCGCAGCCCTCGCCGGGGGCTACCCGCCTGGCCCCTACCGGCCGGCCCGCACGTCCGCGCCTGCGCTCTAGGCGCGCCATCCGGTCGCGCTCCGCGTTCCTCGAATATCTCCTGCGCGACCGCGCCCAGACGCGCCGCCCGCAAGCCCCGTGCGCGCGCCATCGCCGCTGCCGGCCTCGAGTGGCCGGGCAACGGTCGCGAGCCCGGCCCTCCCCCGCAGCTCCCAGCGCCGCAGACCGCGCCGATCCCTGCTGCGTGTCCGCATCCATCGTCCGCAAGGCAGCTCGCGTGCTCGTCACGCCCTCCCTCGCACTGCAGCTGCCTCGACGTCTCCTGTGCAGCTGCAGCTAGGCCAACAGCGCAGTTTGCCGTGCAATCCAGGGCTTCGCTGTCGACGTGCCGCGCCCCCGCGCTTTCCCCGCACCTTCGATGCGTCGCTCCCAGCGTCGTTCGCGCTGTGCGGCGCCCCTGCAGGTCGGCGCGCGCGCGGGTGCAGGCGCGGGCCATGGGCGGTGGCGACGAGGGCGCGGGCAAGAAGCGGCGGTTCATCACGCGCGAGGAGGAGCCGGACGAGTACTTCCTGTCCAAGGGCGAGCGTGACGGCGAGAACCCCCTGAAGACGGACCCCCTGGTGAGTGCCCTAAGCCACACGCGCGCTACTGCCTGCTGGCCGCGCACGGGCCTCGTCGCCCGCCGTCCACGCAGAGCGTGCTGCGCGCTCGCTGCCCGCTGTCTCTCGCGCGGGTGCCGCGCTCCCACGGCCCGACCCGGGCCAGGCAACCCCCCCTGTGCTCGCTTGGCGCTGTCTTAGCCGTAACCCCCTTCCCCGCCGCGCGCTCGCAGGCCTGGATCGGGCTCCTCGCCATCTTCTTCCCGTTCATCCTCACGGTGGTCCTGATCGCGTCGGGCGCCATCGACCTGTCGGGCGCCTACGTCCACTGAAGCGTTGTCAGCCGCGACGCATCTCGCCAACGCACCCCACTCCCCCTCCACGGACGCAGTTTTCCCAGCTATATCACCGGCCACCATTGCCGCGTCACCGTCCGACCCGTGCATGCCGACCGACGACGACGACGCGCACACCGCGCGACGCAGCGCGGGGGCCCGCGCCCGCAGCGCGCCCCCCGCGCCCGTGTGACACGTGTGACGTCAAGCAAGCCTGCTTCACATGGGCTTCCGGGCCGCGCCGGCGCCCGCACAAACAACACACCCCCCCTCGGGACACAAAACGCCCCTCACGCAAACCCGAGGAAGTAGCGGTGGCCGAGCGCGTCCTTCGCGCTCAGCCGGCCCCGCTGCGTCGTCTCGTTGCGCTTGCACACCAGCCGCTTCGCGAGGTCCCACCCGGCCCCGCCCTTGCGGTCCAGCATGGTGAAGTTCGCGTTGCGCGCCCGGGGCTGCCCGCTCGCGCGCCACTGCGCGAGGTCCCAGTCCGCCTTCTCCAGCTCCTGCAGGAACATCCCGTACTGGCTCTTCCCGCGGATCTCCGGGATGGCCATTTGGCAGAAGAGCAGCCCTGCGCTGTACGAGTCAAACAGCTCCGGGCGGCCGTAGATCCACAGGAACGGCGCGACGGCGGCCGCGAGGACCGGGTTCGGCGGCGCGGGCGTCTTGCTCGGCAGCACGAGCTGCTCGGGCGCGCAGTAACGCGGGTCCAGCATGCCGTACTCCGGGTTGTAGTTGATCCCGGTCGAGAGGTCGGTGGCCGCGCCGAAGTCGATGACCTTGACCTTGCCCTCGACGGTGACGAGCAGGTTGTCCGGCTTGACGTCGCGGTGCACGATCCCGATCGAGTGCAGCGCCGCCAGCGCCTTTAGGATCTGCTGCATGATTTTGCGCACGATCGCCGCGTCCACCGCCTCTTGCGCGTCCGGCGCGCGCTTCTCCTCGGGCACCGGCCGCCGGAGCATGATCTCCTCGAGCGCGCTCGGCCACGGCCCGAGCCCCCCCGCGATCGCGTCCTGCAGCGTGGAGTCCGACTCAAACGACCACACCAGCCACTCCGTGCCCTTGGTGAACCCGGCGTCGGTCTTCTCCGCGCGGAACGTGCCCTGGTACTCCGCGCAGTACCCGCGCAGGGCGAGCGAGCGGCGGATCTTCGAGTTCATGTACACCTCGACGATGCCCGCCTCGGCAGCGCCGCGCGCAATCGTGCCCTTGGACAAAAAGTCCTTCCGGGCCGAGCCGGTCGAGTCCGAGTTGATCCGCTTGATCACGACGCGGTTCTTCTTCTCCTCGTCCGTCAGCTGCGCGGAGCGAGCGAGCGAGCGGGCGCGCGGGCGCGTGAGACCTCACCAAACGAGAGGGCGCGCCGTCCCGGGGCGGGACGGGCGCGCGAGCGCGCGGGCCGCTCGCAGGGCGCGCGGCAGGGCGCGCGGGGCGCGTGTTGCGCACCTGCGCCTTGGTGACGCGCTTGCCGTTCTTCATGCGAATGGCCTCGTAGGTGACGCCGTAGTTGCCGCCGCCGAGGCGGTCGCGCAGCGTGAACTGGTCGACGGCGAACTTCGGCTCGGAGATTTTCTCGAGGAAGGAGCCGATCGTGAGGTCGCCGATGTTCCACAGCGGCGCGGGGCGCGACAGCACGAGGTACCACAGCGCGGCCGCGTGCAGCCCCATGTCGGGCGTGGGCGTCAGCGCGAGCGCGTTGGCGAGGTCCTGGATCGCGATGTTCGCCAGCGGGCGCAGCGCCTCCGGGACCTGTGACGCGTACTGCGCGCAAGGGGCCGCCCAGAGCACGCCTAGCTCAGGGGCGCGGACAGCGCGCGGCAGGCCGCGAGAGGCGGCCATTTTGGGTGTTTCGCGACCAGGAGGGAGCGCAAGGGTCGAATTACGCCGTGGTGGAGCGCGCAGGCCGCGGGTCTGTCAGGTCGGGCAGACTAACCTGGGAGAGTGCGGAAATCAACTCCGAGGACGTCTCGGGGTCCGACACGGCCGCCGCGGCGGCAGCGACGGCGTCGGGGTCGACCGCACGGCAGGGAGCGGGCCGCGACGCGCGCCGCGGGGCCCGGGCGCGACCTGCGGGGGGCGGGGAGCGCGACCGATTGTCTACGCTTGGTGGACGGGGGGCGTGGGGGCCTGCGGCGCGTGGCCGGCGGTGTGCCGGTCTGGCGGGGGCCGCCGGCGAGGCGTGGTGCTGGCGTGCGGTGGGCGCGGGCGCGGGCCGTCCAGGCGGCGCAGCTGGCGAAGGAGTGCGTGGGGCATAGTCAAGGGTATCGTAGCGGTGGGCGCGCGTCCGGGCGTTTCGGCGTTTGCGGGCGCGCCGAGGCGGAGAGCGAGGAATAAACCGACGTGTCTCGATCGAGAGGGCGGACGTCGGTCGCGGCCTCGGGCGCTAGCGCGAGTACACCACCGCGCAGCGCGTTCGGCCTGCGCAGCTCGTGGAGAGCGTGGGGACGCGCGAATGGCCCGCGAGGCGCAGAGCCGAATTGCGGGGGGTGGGGTGAGCCGTCGGGATTCCCCGCCCGCGAGCCCGCACCTGCCATCGCCCCGCCCCTCTCATGCCGAGCCAGCTGCGCCCCTCCCGTCGCCGTCCTGCCCGCCAGCGATGAAGCACGTTGCCCAAGCATACCCTCAAGTCCTCGACCCTCGACCGAGCCCGGCTGAGGCCGGTGATTCTCCACACGCCGGTCGCGAGCTCCGCGGCAAGCTACGTTGCACCGCGCCCCTGCGACTGCGACGCGCACAGAGCTCTGCGAACGCGCTGGCGAGGAAGCGTGACAGCCACCGTCCGGCGCGCCACGCGGCCCTTGTGCGCGGCGCCCCGGACCGGCTGCGAGACGCGACGAACCGGGGAGAGTCCTAGTCCGCCCGCGTCATGCCGGTTTGCACCCCTCGGGCTCGCGCTCCGATCCTCACGGCCGGCCGCCCGCCGCGCCGCCAGGGACTTCTCGCGGCCTGGGCAGCGAGCGGGGCTCGAGGCAGTCGCGTCGTTCAGCGCGATGCCGTGTTTGCGCGGGGCTTTTGTGCAGAGCAGGGGGACGGGGCGGGCGGCGCCTGGGAATGCGGCGGGGCGTGCGAGCTGGCGACAGGGCGCAGGGCCGCATGCGCGCGTGCGTGGGCTGCCGCTTGCGTCCGTATGCGCGCGTCACGCGCGAGCGGCGCGCGTGGTGTGTCCAGGTCGGTGCACGGGGCGCTGCAGGGCAGCGCGCGACCTCGGGGCTTCCGCGAACGGGCCCGACGGCGTACAGATCTACGTTGCATCCGAGAGCGCCGAGTACCGCGCGGCGGCGTACCTCCGCGCGGCTGCATTTTACCACTATCCGCCAGGTGTGGTTCCTCTCGCCCGCCCCGCGCCGAATTCAGCGATTTCACGGGCCGTCTTGAGCCTTCTGCGGCCCTCACGTGACGAATTCAGCGTGATTTGCCCCTCATACGCGTGGATGAGCCGCAGGTCGGTCGGAGCTGGCCGCCGCTAGTCACCGGCGCATGCGGGGCGATCAGGAATGGCAGGAGCTGGAGGAGAAGGTGGCGGGGGCGTCGCAGATATGGTCGGCCTGCGACGTGCAGTGCATCCTCGCCAGGTGCGCGGGCGCCCTCGGCACGACGCAGCGCGGCGCCGTGCCCGTCCGCTACGTCGCAACCGCAACTGCGTGTGATTGCGCGCAGTGTCGACTCGGAGTCGGAGCTCGGACGGCAGGTGCTCGACGCGTCGGATCGCTCGACGCAGCTCCCCGCCTCGGGCGACGCGGAGGCGCGCGTCGCAGTCGGCACCCTCGACATCAACGTCGGTAGGCAACACAGCCCCGGTCAGGGGCCAGCACGCCCCGCGCGCGGCATCGGGACCGGCCGCCGCCGTCGCGTAATTTTCCAGTCGAAATCCCGCGCGCCGCTCGCGTGCGCGCAGGCCCGCGGATCCCGTCGGAGGACCTGCAAGGGGCGCTGCCTGGGTCGGACGACGGGCGCGGAGACCCCGGGAAGCGGCGGGCGTACCTGTCGAACGTGTGCGTCAGCGACGCGGCGCGCCGCAGGGGCATCGCGCGCGCGCTCATCGACGCCGCGCACGCCGTCGCAGGGTACGTACGCACACGCAACCACGTCGCGCTTCGCTGTGCGTCGTCGCTCCGCCGCTGCGGCGCACCCCGCAGCCTCTCACCGCGTGCGCATCACGGGGCCGAGCTCGGGCTTGCGGCGCAGGCGAGAGGGCGTCGAGCACATGTACGTGCACGTGGTCGTGGAAAACAAGGCAGCGGTGGAGTTGTACAAAGCGGCAGGATACGACGTGGAGTCCGAGGAGTCCGCGGCGCAGGCTCGAGCGCGCGCGCGGCCGCGGCGGCTGCTGCTGCACCGGAGGCTGGACTGACGGCGAAGCTGAGTCGGCTGCGTGTGACACTAGCACGGGATCACCGTTTCCGCGGCCGCAGGCCGCTATCCGCCAGCTAGTTCGCGCCCGCTGCCTCCTTCAGCACGGCCTCAGCTTCCTCGCAGATGAGCTGCCAGCACTCGGCCACGTGCACCGCGCCAGTGTTGGTGCCGCCCACCGCCAGCCGCAGCGTGAACTTGCCGTCGAGCGAGGTCCCCGTGAGGAACGTCTTGCCCGTCGCGTTCAGGCGCTCGAGGAGCTCGGCGTTCGCGGCGTCCGGCGCCCCGCGCAGCCGGAAACAGACCAGCCCGAAGTGGCGGTCCGCGCACACCTCGAACCTCTCGTCCGCCTCGACCCACGCTTCGAAGTCCGCAGCGAGGCCCATGTGGTGCCGCATGTACCTGCGCGGAGCGGAGTATACATGTATTTGTGCTCCATACGTATGTCTGGAGTACAAACATAATGTCCCCGTTGACAAAACTGGTGTGCTGCGTACCCGCGGATGCCCTCGGCGCCGTACGTCCGGAGCACGAGCCAGAGCTTGAGCGCGCGGAACCGCCGTCCGAGCGGCACCTGCCAGTCCTTGTAGTCGGTCACGGCGCCGGCGTCGGTGGCGGCGTTGCGCAGGAACTCCGGGTTGAGCGTCAGGGCGCGGACGAGCGGCGCGCGGTCCCGCACGTACATCGCGGACATGTCGAAGTTGACCAGCAGGCCCTTGTGGGGGTTGAAGTCGATCGAGTCCACCTTGTCCACTCCTGCGAGGTGGTGCCGCAGCTCGGGCAGGACCATGCACGAGCCGGCGTACGCGGCGTCGATGTGCGTCCACATGCCGTGCTTGGCCGCGACGTCCGCGACCGCGGGGATGTCGTCCACGGCGCCCGAGCTCGTCGTGCCCAGCGTCGCGCAAACAAAGCACGGCACGAGACCCTTCGCGATGTCTTCCTGGATGATCCTGCGCGCGGACAGTGGAGGACAGGCTGCATGAGCCCCTGCGATGCGAGCTGCGAGGTTCCCGCGTCCGGAGTGCGACGGAGGGGGGTGTTATTTGCCTGTCGAGGGCGTCGCCGGTCATGCGGTAGCCGTTCTCGCCCGTCGTCGGAACGGTGCGGAAGTGGTGCACTCCGGCGACGGCGCACGCCTTCTGCACGCACGAGTGCGCCTGGTCAGACGCGTACGCCACCAGGCGCCCCGCGACCTCGTTGGCGTCCTCCCCCGGCCCGACCTTCGACCCGGTTTGCGCCTCGTCCTTCGACGGCGCCCCGGGCGCCCCGAGCAGCGACGCCGGCGGGCCCACCGCGCGCGAACGCGCCGCGAGCAGCGCCACCAGCGCCGCCTCGCTGGCAGTCCCCTGAATCACTCCCCGTGCCCGTGGCAGAGAGGAACGAGGCCGGGAGACCCACGAGCTGCCCGAGCCAGTCGAGCGCGACGGTCTCGAGCTCGGTTGCCGCAGGACTGGCGATCCAGGAGAATCCAATGCAGTTAATAGCCGCAGAGAGCATCTCTCCAAGCATGCCGGGGCCGCTCGAGTTGGCGGGGTAGTACGCGAAGAAAGACGGGTGCTGCCAGTGCGTGACGCCTGCGCGGCGCGGGGGGGACGTGCGGGGCGTGTTGGCTATGATTCCTCACGGCGCCGCTGATGATGATCAATTACAAGTGCTTTTGCGGGCGTGAGGGTCGCTGGAGGGGGTTCGCGTGCGGGCGCGCACCTGGCATGATGAGACCTTCGAGGTCGCGCATGCAGGCGTCCCATGACTCCCCCTGCTCGGGGCAGGAGGTGGGCAGGGCACTCATGAGGTACCCAGGCTCGACCTGGGACCGCACAGGCCGCTCCTCAACCGTCGTCATGTAGTCGGCGATCCAGTCTACGACCTCGTGCGCCGCGGCACGGAACTCCTCGGGGCCCATCGGGTGCGCGAACGCGCCCGTGTCGGCAGCGGTGCGCTCCGTGGATGCACTCTCCGCAGCGGCAGACGCCGCAGGGGGACGCTGGGCTTGCGTGGCGACGGAACCGCGCTTGCTCTGGCATCTCGCCGCGGGGGGAGCCGCGGCGGCCCCGGAAATCGCGCGAACGGGGGCCGTCATGTTTGTGGCCGAAACCAGGGGGCGCTCGTTGCGGCTTTAGAGGGTCGTTTGGGATCGTCAACGGCGGTCACGAACCTTCGAAACAACGAGGATGTGCCGTCGACACGCAAGGCACGGGCATGTGATGCCCACAGAACGCTCCGAGACCCCCCCCGGACCCTTCGCAGCCCCTTCGCGACCCCCCGGCCGATCCACACACCCGCCCTCCGCCGCGCGCGCGCGCGCGACCGCTTGCGCTGCCGTCTGCGATCGGCCCGCGCGGCCGTCTGCTGCGACACACACCGCCCGCGTCGCTTCAACTCGCTGTGGCAACACTGCATCTTCAAACAACGATCCAACGCTCGTCGGGGCCTCGGACTGGGCCGCCACGCGCCGTGTGCGCGGCCCCACGGCAGGGGCGCCCCAGGCGGATCCACGTGCGGTCGCCCGCCTCGAAACATGCGCCAGGGAAGGTAGAACACCACAACGGGGCTGTGTGATCCCTCGGGGGGTAGAAGTGCTCGCTGGCATCGCGGCGGCGGGCCAGTCGGCGCGCGGCGTCCTCGGGCAACGCGTTGGGTCCATTCGAGCGCCTGCACCGGTGCGGCGGGCGGCACCTTGATGCTGCGGCAGGCCGCGCGGCCCGTCTCCTGCCACGTGACGTCCGCGCGGCGAGCGCTCGCATTCTCGGTTTGGCGCCCGCGGGCGGGCGACAGAGAGCTTAGAGAATCATCTGGTGCGCAGAAGGTCGCGGCGGCCTGCCGTCCGCGGGCGTACCCGCCCTGGTGTGCTGCTGCACTTTCGTCGAAGCGGCGTGGCGTGATGGCGACAGCGCGGAACGGGGTCGGGGTGGCAGCCACAGAGGGCCATGATACCAAGGATGACGGCGAGCTGCCGCCGCTCGTCGATTACGTTCTAGATAAGTCGGCGTTCCGCGAGGAGCGTCCCTGCACCGCTCTGCGGGTGCCGGCGAAGCGCACCGGGGAGATCATGGCGGCCGTGCGGCCGTACCTGTTCAAGGTACCTCGCATGCGAACCGTGGTGACGGATCCCGCGACGCCGGACACCCGCATCGTCGTGCTCGCGGGCCCAGTGGACCTCTCCCTGAGCCATCTTGCGGCGGACGTGCGCGAAAAGATCGTCTCCGACGCGGACATCCAGGTCATCAAGGTGCGCCTCGCTCCCCCCACGCTGCTTCACCACGCAACCGGACCCACCCGCGAACCACGCCAGTCACACACGCAAACGCGCTCTGCGGTCGCTCACGCTGCGCCGCGGACCCGCGTCCGCCCGCAGCACGTGTACGAGATCCCGTACGAGCACTTCCAGACGGACCAGGTCCTCAAGCGCATCCTCCCGGACGCGCGGGAGGTCCCCACGGCCTTTGAGACCGTCGGGCACATCGCGCACCTCAACATCCCCCGCGAGCTGATGCCCTGGCGCAAGGTCATCGGCGAGGTCGTCCTCGACAAGAACCCCGCGATCAAGACCGTCCTCACCAAGGTCGGCGCCATCGAGAACGAGTTCCGCGTGTTCCGCTCCGAGGTGCTCGCGGGGGAGCCCGACCTGGTGGCGACCGTGACGCAGGGCGGGCTGAGGTTCCGGCTGGACTTCGGAAAGGTGTACTGGAACTCGCGCCTCGAGGGCGAGCACGAGCGGCTGTCCTCCAAGTACTTCCGTGCGCGCCCATTCCCCCACCAAAACACCCCCACCCCGCTCCTGATGCGCCGACGGCGACGGCGCTGCGCGTCCGGCCCAGCCCTGCTCGTGGTATTGGCATTGCACGCCCGGCGAGCGCGCCGGTTGGATCCGCGCCGGCGGCGCCGCGTGACGACGGTTGCTTGCTGTGGTGGCGGTGCGTGCGCAGGCGAGGGGCAGGTGGTCTGCGACATGATGTGCGGCGTCGGGCCGTTCGCCGTGCGCGCCGCGGCGCGCGGCTGCGAGGTGTGGGCCAACGACCTCAACCCTGAGTCAGTCAAGTGGCTCCGCATCAACGCGCACAAGAACAAAGTCGGGAAACGCGTGCGCGCGTTCAACGCGTGCGGCCGGACCTTCCTGCGCGCTCTCGCCGGGACTCTGCGGCCTCCGCCCGCGCCGGCGGACGGCGAGGGTGCGCCCGCTTCGCCCCGTAAGACTAGACGCGCTGACATGATTCATGTCATCAGATGCAGCCTCGTGCGTGCCGCCGCGGGGCCGAACCGCCCGAGCGCCCCCGCCGTGCTGTGCAGGGGGCGTGAGCATACCTGAGGGGGGGGTGTATTTCGACCACGTCGTCATGAACCTCCCCGCGTCGGCCGTTGAGTTCCTGGATGCGATGGCCGGCGCGTTCCCCGCGGAGCGCTTCCGGGGCCGCATGCCGCTCGTCCACGTGTACACCTTCCTGCGGGGAACCGAGGAGGAGGCCGTCGCGAACGTCCGGTGCGCGCACGCGGCCCGGGCGGCCGTTGCCTCTCCGCTGCCACCATTGAGCGCGTCAAGTGACCACCCCCGGACAGCAACCACCGCCCCGCAGGTCCGTCGTGGAGCAGCACCTCGGGGGCCCTCTCGACGGCCCTCCGGAGGTGCACAACGTGCGGGACGTGGCCCCGGGCAAGCACATGCTGTGTGTGTCGTTCCGCGTGCCTGAGGCGATCGGACTGGCGAGGAGCGACGCGGCGGTCGCGGGGAGGAAGCGGAAGGCCAGCGGGGCGCCAGGGAACGCCGCGCCATGAGGCGGCCGGGCCGCGGAGGGCGTGTGCGGCGATGGGGTACGTGCGCACAGCGGAGGCGCGGAATGGGCGCGCGGGTCGAGGCGGCGGGTCGCTGGTGCGCGCCACGAGCACGAGCAACTCGTCTGGCAGTGCGAGAGACGGCCGCGCGTGGTGAGGGCTGCGTCGTCGACGACGGAGGTGCGGTAGTTGGCAGGTGACCTGGCAGCGCATGGCGCGCCTCGGGGAAGGCCGCCTTGTGATTGCGACGCGATAATTCGGAGGTAGATCTTAAATCGGAGCTGCACGAGCGGCGCAACTCGGGCGCCCGCTAACTGGCTCAATGAGTCATCCGCCGAGCCTCGACATGACTACCCCTCGGCGCCGCGCCGACGGAGCCCGCGGGGTGCTCAGTGCCGCGCGGCAGCGCTTGCACGATACAAGAGGTCGTCGGCCAGCTACCGGACACGAAAGGCCTGCGTGTCCCGTCCCTGCAGCAAGCTCCCGAGTGGACAGTCGTGAACAGCCGGTGCGTTGCGCGACGAATCGCTCGTGCTGCACGCTCGTGCCTCAGGCATCGCTCCCGCGTGCGCCGCTGCTGGGCCGCTCGTACCCCCGCGGCGCCCGGGCATCGTGGCTCAGCGCGTCTCTGCTGACCTGGCCTCGCAGCCGCCGCAGACCGCAGAGTCGCTCTCACGGCGGCCTAGTCTTCGAGTGAGGCCGCCGCTGGCGGCCGGATAGCGCGCATGCAGCCCGCGCGCCGCCTCGCGTATGGCATCATCATGGCTCGGAGCAGTCGCCAAAGCGTGCCTGCCGGGCGGCACGACGAATGATTCGTTGCGCATCGCGTTCGATTGCAGGCGAGCAACTCGTCGAGGGCGACCCGTCGGGCTCTGACGCTTCGAGGAATTCGCTGAGCGCGCCTTGACAAACGACCGTTCACTCCCTTCGCGCCCGGCACGATGGGCTGCTTCTCCTTCCGGCGGGCCGCCGCCGCCTCTCGAGACTATCGCCATTCCTCCAAATCAGCTGTCGACACCGGCGATGACACGGAAGGTGCGCGCAACCGCGTCCCAGGCCCGTCTGAGTCCGCGTGCTGCTCCGCGCGGGCGAACGTGCACCTGCGGGCAGCAAGACGGCCACTATGACTTTACAGCAACCCGAATTCATCGCTCTCGCCGCAACTTGCCCCCGCGCCGCCTCCGTGGCGCGGACGGTCAGAGCCAGAGCGGGCCCCGCTCACTTCGCGTTCCCGGCCCTGCCTCGCAGTGATGCAAACTCCAAAGAGCAACAGACGTAGCACCCTGCCGGTGGACTACTCCGACAGTCGGCAGCGCCGTCTGTCGCGGCAAATCACGCCGCACACGTCGCCGTGCACCGCGCACCTCGCGAATGCGTCATCCGCGCCGGAGGCCGGGCTGGCGGCGCAGGGGCGCTCCTGCAACGAGAGCAAGGGTGCGGTGCACGTGCGCAACGTCCACTCCCGCAGCACCGCGGACGTCGGCACGCCCGCGTGCGGGTTGGCGCAGGAGCACCAACGCTTGGCAGCGAAGCAGCGCGCAGCCGTGCAGCTCGTCTTGGACGGGCTGGCGGACGGGAGCCAGAAGCACGACTCGACGCGCTCGAACTCGCGTCGCCCCCGGCAGAGCAGGCGAGTCCCCGGTCACGAAGCATGGTGACGCTCGTTACGTCGCGCACGCGAACGCTCGTCGGCCGCGCTGGCGCGCCGCCTTGCCTCACGCCTCCCCGGCCCTCGACGGATCGCGCGCAGGCCGCTGTTGCCGTCCGGAGTCGCGCTCAAGATCCACAACTCGGCCAGTATGATGGCGCAATCGGGGCTCGTCTCCGCGCGCGCCTCCGCCGGGGACACGTCGATCAAGTCGCACGACGCCTGCAACTTCATCCGCGCGTACCCGATGACGCGCTCCACGTCGATCGCCGCCGGCGGCCCCCTGGCGTCTCTCGTGCGCTGCCCCTCTGGAGAACAGCACCCGCGGCGCGGGTCCGCGGTCTGTTCCACCCCGGGCATCAGCCGCCTCAGCCACACCGCGCCGCGCTACTGCGCGGACGCCAGGCCCAACCTCCGGGTGACGACCGAGGTGGCCGAGTAGCGCGTGCGTCGGCCTTACAGGGCCCGCACCGCCGCCGCCGGCCACGACCGGCGCGTCGGAGTGTACGTCACCGGCAGCTTGCCGTGCGCCTTGTTCTCCCCTCTTATTCCCCAGACTCCCCCTCTACTGGACCCTCGAGCGGACCACAACACAACTCTTGTTACCGCCCCCCCCCCCCTCGAGAGGACCACACCATCGGTGTCCTTGAGGTCTCCTTGAACCGTCTCCTTGAACAGAATCCTTGAGCAGTCTTTCAGGCCCTCACCCGGCCCATTCGCCCCCGTGTTGCCCACCCCTAGGCAGAACTGTTTTCGAACCCCACTCACGCCGCGGCCGCCGGCGCCCCACGGCCCGGCTCCGCGAGTTCCTTCCACGTCTCCAACGACACCTTCCCTCAGTGACGAGAGCATACCAAGCTGGCGAAGCGCGCAGCGGCAAGCGACCGCAACCAACACACGTTGCGTATTTGCCCCCCCCTGCGTTGAAAACGCCTCGTCGAACCAAGCCGCCCCTCCTGCTCTACCCGAACCCTTTCCCCTCCCGGAACTCTCTGTCGGCGCAATTTCGAATCATCGCGCCTCCACATGATCGCCGCAGGCTCCTAATGCGGTGACCAAACTCAACGACATTTTGCACCCGAGCAACCCACCACAGCGCAACCCTGCCTGAATCCCAGGCCCGCGGTCCGTCGCTGTTTTTGCCACCCAATGTATGCACCACAATGGCCCCCCGGGCGACCCTTTCGCCCCCCCAACAAACAACACACCTTTTTGCACCCGAGAAACCCACCATAGCACGACCCGGCCTGGATCCCAGACCCGCGGCCCGTCGCTGTTTTTGTCGCCCAATGTATGCACCACAACGGCCCCCCGGCCGACCCTTTCGTCCCGCGCAGGGCTCACCTTCCAGCAGTTGACCGCAAGGTCGTGCCCGGACAGTTGCGCGCGAATCGCGCAACCGCACCGCCGCCAGCAGCCTCGACACGGCTCGCAGCGCAGGCAGCGCAGGCAGCGCAGGCAGCGCAGGCAGTGCGAGAAGCCTCCCTCTCCTGCAACCCCCGACCGCCCTCCTGTCCAAGTCCATGGCAGAGAGGTAGGAAGCGCAGCAGTAGAACAGCGCTCACCTGCTCACATCACACTCCCTCCCTCGCCCTCCAGCCACCCTAGGCGTCCCGCCGCGCAGCCACCCACAAAGCTTCCCATGAACGAACACCACCTCGTTCCGTTTGGGGCTCTCCGCGCACCATGCCGGCTGTGCTGTTCGACCTGAACGAACTGCGCACCTGTGTTCTTCGCCCGCGCTCCCGCGCCCCAGCAAGGCCCGAGGGCAGTCTGGCGGCGTGCCCTAATCCTGGGGGAGCGTAGCAGCTATGTATCCGTAGCAGATACGCGCACATCTACGCGAGATCTACGCCATGGCTACGGATACGTAGCCCCCATGTAGCTGCCGGAGGCGCGCCGATGCCTAAGGTGAAGATGATGTGACATGAACACGACGGGCGTCGCTGTGACATGACACGTCTCGCTGAAGTAGACGCCCTTTGCCAGGTGCATCGTGTTGTTCGCTTCAAGCGGCGTTCGTCAGCCCGACTTGAGTGGGCCGCGGCCCCGGGGGTGTGGGGCCTTTGAAAGAATGCCGCGACGACGGCGCTCAAGGGGCCGCGGTGCTGCCCGTGCGACCAGTTTCGTCAACTTGGACCCGATGGTGGACGCTGCAATGCGCCGAGGCTGCTCTTCTGCGCCCAGGACGCCCGGGACCAGGCCTTGGTGCAGCGCGACAACACAGGTGCGCCGAAACCGTGCGTTGTGGGTGCCCTTCAGGCCTTCCGCCTGACTGAGAGAAGCATTTAGCGACAAAGGGGCGCTACGCGTGGCAGGTGGTACGAAATCGACAGCAGAGGCCCTTGGCGGGCGCATGCATCCCAGGTGTAAGAGCTCAGCTGCTGTGCCGTCGTCTGTGGCCACGAAAGCGCCTTCAGCCTCATGTCCCGGGGTGCTTTATGGGTTGTTGATAGCGGCAGAAGGGAGATGTTTGCGTCTTCGCCACACATGCTTGCGGCTGACGGTCCTCTGTGGCTGGTGTGCAGAGCCAACGACTGAACGAGCCCACACATATGAAATTCATATTCAAAGAGCAAGTGGGAGTTGCTAGACAGCTGAATGCGTTGCGAAACGCTCTCGCGCCTGCAGCATCGCAGTGCAGCTGCAGCGCAGCCCGCCGTAGACAATATGCGTAGCTAGCGACACAGGGTCCGTAGCTGCGACGAAAAAGCTACGCTCCCCCAGGATCAGGGCACGGCGTGATGCTGATCACGGCCCAACCACGACAGCCTCGTGCCACAGCAGCTCTGCGATGAACCCGAACGCAGCCTGAACTCACGACAGTCCCCGCGCAGGAGGAGGTTCGCGACCCTGTTTGTAGCCACCGCCCTACATAGTAGGAGTGACACTCAACGCAGGTTAACTACTAGTCTCTAAGAGAACCATGTGCCCCCCCCCGCTTGGGGCGCACGGCTCTCGGCCGCTACCGTCACGTTCCCGAGCGCGGACCCTGGCTCGAGGATCAGCAAGAACGGCGAATGTGACGTTCGTGTGTGCATCGTGCGTCAACCTCGACCCTGCCGCCCGCGGCCTGGAAGCTCTCGCAGCGTGGTGGCCCCCGCAGGCTCCTCCGTCCATCCCCGCTGCGTTCTCGACGCACACCGTTGCTCTCGGCCGTCCCTTCTCCCTCGCAACATACTGTGCCCTCAGTGGGCACACTTGTTCTACCGAATGTTACTGAAAATTTCCTCTGTCGCGCTTCCGACTCAACACCACCCGAACCAGCACGCCGGCCCTCGCATCGCGCACATCGCCGCACGGCCGGTCGTCATCAGTCGCGCTCCTCCTACAAGCTCAGTCAGACAGGGGGAAACAGACAGCCCTGAATCACAGGATCTAATTGTCCCCCGCAGGCCGAGGCGAGGCGGCCCCGGCGTCGCCTCAGTTCGCCGCAGCCGGCTTGTCCGCCGCCTCCGCGGCCGGCTGCTCCTTGGGCTCGAACATGCACGTCAGGCTCCGGGTGTCGCGCTCCTTCTGCAGCGTGGCAATCACCTCCTCCAGGGGACGCTCGCCGTGCACGACGTTGTCGCGCGTGCGCACGTTGACCGTCCCGCGCTTCATCTCCTCCTCGCCCACCACCAGGATGTAGTTCCACCGCATGACCTGCGACTCCGCCACCTGCAGCCCAGTGGAACTCGACAGACATCAGCGCGCATAGAGCTTCGACGCCGCGACGGCGGCTACGCCGCACGCCCCGACCCGCCTCGCGCGGCCAAAGCACACCGCTGCCGCGCCGCCGCACGCTGCCTGCCTGCCTGCTGCACGCACCTTCTTCTGCATCTTCTTGTCCGCGAGGTCGGCGGTGCAGTGCAGCTTCGCGGCGCGCAGCTTCGCCTCCACCTCCTTGGCGTACGCGGCGCTCTTCTCGCTGATGGGCACTATGGTGACCTGGCGCGGCGAGAGCCACAGCGGCCACGACCCGGCGTAGTGCTCCGTGAGGATCGCGAACATCCGCTCGACGGACCCGAGGATCGCGCGGTGCACCATCACCGGCCGCTCCTCCGTCTGCGCCTCCGTCGTGTACTTGAGGTCGAAGCGAATGGGCAGCTGGAAGTCCAGCTGCACGGTCGCGCACTGGAACTTCCGCCGCAGCGCGTCGAACACGTGGATGTCGATCTTCGGGCCGTAGAACGCGCCGTCGCCCGGGTTGAGCTTCCACTCGCGCCCCGTCGCGTTCAGTGCCTGAGTCAGCGCGTCCTCGGCCTTGTCCCAGAGAGCGGGGTCGCCGAGGAAGCCCTCGGGACGCGTGGAGAGGTTGAGCTCGAAGTCGAGCCCGAAGGTGTCGTACGCCTCCTCGAGCATGCGCACGTACGCGAGCACCTCGTCCATGACCTGGTCGGGGCGGCAGAAGATGTGCGCGTCGTCCTGCTGGAAGCGGCGGACGCGCGTGAGGCCGTGCAGCGCGCCGGAGAACTCGTTGCGGTGCAGGACGCCGAAGTCGGCCATGCGCAGCGGCAGCTCGCGGTACGAGCGCGTGCGGTTGCCAAACATCACGCAGTGCCCCGGGCAGTTCATCGGCTTGAGGCCGTACTCCTGCTCCTCGACGTGGAACGAGAACATGTTGTCCTTGTAGTGGTCCGCGTGCCCGGACGTCTTCCACAGGTCGAAGTTGTAGATGTTGGGCGTGATCACCTCCTGGTAACTGTAGTCCCAGTACTTCTCGCGCAGGTACTCGATGAGCGCGTTGTACACGCGCGTGCCCTCGGGCGTGAAGAAGCACGACCCGGGCGACAGCGGGTTGAAGAAGAAGAGCTCGTACTTCTGCCCTAGCACGCGGTGGTCGCGTTTCTTGGCCTCCTCGATGCGGTGCTTGTACTCCTTCATCTGTTTGTTGTCCGGGAAGGTGATGCCGTACACGCGCTGCAGGCCGTCCTTCTTCACGTCGCCGCGCCAGAACGCGCGCGACATGCTGTTCACCGCGACCGACCGGAGCATCGCCGTGTTGGGCACGTGCGGGCCCGAGCAGAGGTCCACCATGGGGCCGTTGCGGTACAGCGAGATCGTCGCGTCCTCGGGGAGGCCCGAGATGATCTCGATCTTGAACTTGTTCTCCTGCACGGCGCGCGCGCGCTCGTCGCGGGCGTCAGCGCGCGACAAAAGCACCGCAGGCAACGCAGCGCGCGGGCGGGCCGCAGCGCACCTGGAACATCGCGAGCGCCTCGTCGCGCGTGACGACAACCCGCTGGAACTGCTGCTTCTCCTTCACGGCGCCCTCCATGCGCTTCTCGATGCGCTTCTTGTCGTCGTCCTTGAGCGAGCGGTCCCCCATGTAACAGTCGTAATAGAACCCCTCCTCGATCGACGGACCGATCGTCAGGTCGACGCCGAACTCGAGCTCGAGCGCCTGGCCCAGCACGTGCGCTGCGGGCGCGGGACGCGGCGCGGGACGCGCGTGAGTGCATGCGCGCTGCGCGTGCGGGGCTGGGCGCCGGCCGCGCGCGGGGCGGCCGGTTCGGGCGTCGGCGGGGAGCTGAGGGCCGCGCCGACACTCGGGCGGCGCGCGAGGGCGCGCGGCGTCGCGTGCGAGCGCGAGCGGGCGTGTAGACACACAAACTCACCTGAGGAGTGCCACCACGTGTCCTTGCCCTCTGGGTCGTCGAAGGTGCAGATCTTGATGTCGCAGTCCTTCTCGAGGGGGCGGAAGAGGTCCCAGCAGCCGCCGTCGACGACCGCGACGACGGCCTTCTTCGCGAGCCCGGCGCTGATGCCCTGCGCGATCTCCAGCGGAGTCGTCGCGCCCTTGATCGCCTGCAGTCGAGAATTCCCTATCTCGCGCGGTCACGCGCACGCTCCGTGCCTGGGCGGCGGCGGCCGGACTTTCGCGCGGGCCGCCCGCCCGCGATTGCCCGTTCGCTGTGCGGTTCGGCGAGGATAGCGTCCGGAGAGCCCGGGAGCGGCGAAAGCAGCCGCGCACGCGTCGCGCGAGCACGAAGAATGGGAGCGGCGGCAGAAGCTAGCCCGCTCCGGCGCGGCCTCGCGAAGCCGAGCCGCCGCGCACGCGGCTCCGCACATTGCCGAGACGGCATTCAGCGCGACCGAGCGCGAGTCCACCGCCGCATCGGGGCCGTGTCCGCGCGCAGAGTCGCCGCGCGGGGCAGGAGCAGCGCACAGGCGCCCGCGAGGTCGCCTCTGGCACCGCGAGCCCGTTCCGGCCCGCGTTTCAGGCCGCGCACGCACCTCCTTCTTCGTGCCGTCCGGCAGCGTCACCGTGATCGGCTCGGCCCGCGCCCTGGCCTCCTCGGCGAGCTTCTGTTGGCGCTCATGGTACTTCTCGAAGAGATTCACGCGCTGGTGATAGTACGGGAGCTTCTCCGCGACCGGATCCGCCTTCTGCTCCTCGCTGATGTTCAGCGCAGCGACCTGCTCCGCCGGCGCCGCCATTGTGCGTGCAATCTGTCGACCGGGAGTGCGCTAGCCTCTCTCCCGCGCCTGCCACGGCGCAGTGAACCGCAAACGCAGCCCACGCAGACCTGCCGAGCTCTGCGACGTGTCGCACGACGCGGGCGCGGCGACGGCAAAATCCCCCCGCGCCCCACCGCCGCGGTCGGTCCCCACACCCCCCTCCCAAACACCCCTGCGAGCCGCACAGCGGTACACCCCACGCCCGCGACGCCGATCCCGCGGCCCGGACACCGCTGCGCCATGCGCTCACCGCCCGCAGGGCGGCCCGACGCCACGTGCCGGCCGTGCCGCGGTGTCAGACCACAACCGGCATCAAGCAGGGCGCACAGGCCCTGACAGCTCGCGGCATGGCGCACGGGAGCGCGCGCAGGAGCCCGCCGGCGAGCAGAGGCGCGGAGCGGCGGTTACAGCTGCAGGACGAGGCTCAATGTCTACTGCGTTGCCTTGGCAGGTATGCCTTGGGATGGGCCCGCGTCCTTCGCCATCGCTCTCCGGAGGTCGCCGAGCGTCTTGTTCTTCTTCTTCCCGAGCTTGAAGCTGTCGTCCGGCGGCTTCACCACGTCGAGCTGCGCAGAACCGACCCCGTGGCAGCGAGTTGAGCGACAGCGACACACTCTCGCGGCGAACAGCACGTGGGCCCCCGCGCGGCTCCGCGAACCGACCGGCATTCCCTGTGCAGCGTACAGGCCTGCCCCGCCGCCCCGCCGCAGGCCCCTGCGCGCACCTTGCCGCCGTGCGCGGACGCATACGCCGCAGCGGTGTTCTCGTTCTTCTTGTTCACGAATTTCCGCACGAGCTGGTCCGCCTCAAACGCCTTCCTGGCCGCATCGGTCTTCGGGGCCCGGAACACCGTCCCTGCGGAGACGTCACGGGGCCGCGGTGGGCGGGAAAGTGCCCCGGGGCACCCTGAAGCCCGCCGCCTGGCGCGGGCCCGCGTTGTGAGCCGGCCTGGGCGCTCGCCCCGGCGCGGGCGGGAACTGGGCGAGGCGCGGAGGCGCGTGCGCGTGGCTGCGGTTCCGTGTGTTGCGGCGCGCACCTCGCTTTGTCTGCGCGCCAACTTTGCCGTGCTTGGACGGCGGCTTGGACTTCTTCGCGGCCAGCGGCTTCGTGGCAGCCGTCTTCTTCTTGCCCTTGAACAGGGGCTTCTGCGCCATGGCCTGCCTCGCGCAAACGCGTTTAAAACGCGGAAACGCGGCCGCGGGGTCGCGGAAACGCGGCCGCGGGGTCGCGCCAAGCGGCGCTGGGAACGCACGCGGAGCGCGGGCCCGAGTGGGCCCTGAACGCGACCTCGAACCCGCCCCTGGGAAGCACGCAGCCTCAGAAGAGCGCGAGCGCCGCAGGAAGGATCACTTCGCAGCACCGAACCTCCCACAGCTCAAGGCACGTGCAGCCTCTTCCAGACACCGGCTCGGGGTCACGTTACAGCGGACTGGAATCCGTGGACGGGCAGAATTCCGTGCCCCGCCTCCACGCGCCGCGGCGCATTGTAGACCCCCGCTGAGCCACCTCAGGAGATCGGGAACTCCCTCGAGGTCCGACCGGCCGGTACCGGGCGCGCCAAGGCCGCGATGCGCCGCCGACCACCCACATTGCGTGCAACCGATTAAGCCCTCCCGTTCCACGCAGCGTCGAATCGACCTGCGGCCGCGCCCCGCCCCATCGCGCCTGGTCCACGGACTATCTGCACGCTACGAGCGCGGGCGCCCAGGCAGCTGCGATCCCTGGGAACCCCGGGCCGTCTCCGCAGCGGACCAGGGCCAATGAACGTCCTCGCGCTCCCGGCTCGCGCCCTGCGTCCAGCTGCGCCGCAGCGCTGCGCCCTCTACAGGCGGCCCGTTCCAAGGCGCCTAGACGCGCAAATCGTTCGCGTGGACCCGTTCCAGTCCCTCGACGACGACGAGTCCAGCCAGGCCCCTGTCTCGCGGTACGTTTCGCGGCGCAACACCCCCGGGGGAGTCTCCATTCCGCCGAGACGCTTCCCCTACCTGCGCTGACAACACCGCCGCGGCATCGCGCGCCCCGCCACGCAACGCGAGCAATCCCGCGACCGCGTCGACCCTGAGGGCATCCACGAGCAAGGGCGTGCATCTCAGAGGCCGCCGGGCGCGCGGGCGCCGCGTGGGAGCGCGGCCCGCGCTCCGCAGACGGAGCAACCTAACATGACGGCTACCGGCGCCGATCCGCAGGTCGAGGCACGGCAAGTCGTACGAGTCGCAGACCCGCCGCCGTGGGCGGCCTGCCTGGAAGCGCAAGCCGGAGGACACCCCCCTGCGCGACGGTACGGCCTATCTTGCGCCGCCACCTTCGACGCACAGTGCGCCCCGCACGCCCCGCGGGCGACCCGCACCGCGCGGCCGCGCGGAGCCGAACGCCGGTGCCCCCGCCGTCGAGCCGCAGGGAACCGCGACCGGTTGATAGGTCTTCTGACGCTCCAGGCGGCCAAGACACTTGCGTACTACCTCAGCGAAACCAACCTGCCTGTCTACTGCTGGTTCGTCGAGTACATGCAAGAGAACCGCATCCCGCGCAACGGAAGCTGGGACGAGGTGCGCGCGCCCCGAACGGCTCCGGCGCCCCGCCGGGCCCGCGCGCGCGTGTGCCCTGCGCCCGCCGAGCGTCCCACCGCCCCAACGCGGATAATTCGCGATTTCCTGCGGTATTCAATCGACGAATCCCCTCGAACACGCACACTTCGTCTCGAATTCGGCGATTTCGGGCCGCGAACGCCGTCGATCGCGCCGCGGCGCGCAACACAAGATCCGGCGTCGCGGCACGCACCCCGGGTCGCCGCGGCCCGCGCCCGCCCCGCCGCCCGAGCGCCCCCGCGCGCGCGTCCCCCGCACGCAGGTCTCCGGCGAGGCCTTCCTCCGCGGCCTGCTCAGCCAGCCCGTGCAGGAGGCCCGATGGAAGGTGTCGCGCGACGCGCTGTACGACAACTTCGGCGGGGCGTCGGTGGACCCGCGGTCGATCGCGCAGCGCGTGATGGACATCCGGAAGGTCCTCGCGAAGGAGTTCATCCAGGACCTGTCGGACATCGAGGAGGAGAACAACATCTTGTACCGCGAGACATTGCAGACGTCGATTCGGAACAGTCTGAGCATGTCGCTGGACGACGTGGACGAGGACTAGGCGCTGCGCCCGACTGCGACGGCCCGGAGCTGCGAGGGGCGCGGCGCGGCGCTGGACGGTGACGGCGGTGGGCGCGGGGGGTTGGTTGTTTGCTGCGCGGCAGGTGGCGCGGGGACGAGGGTGACTAGTTGTGAGGCTTCGCGTACGTCGCTGCGTTGCGTGGGCGGTGCGGGCGGGCGTCGCGTGGCGCTGCGCTCGACAGGGCGCTGTGCGGGCGCACCAGGGGGGGGGGTTGTGCCTTCCTTCTGTGTTGTAGCGGAGGAGCTGCGGGCGGCCTGCTTGGCGCCGTGTCGCCTCGCGGCGGGTGGGGCATGCGGGGGCCTGGCATGCCGGGGGGGGGGGGTCCGGCCGGCATCCGACGCCCCGCCGGCCATGCCGAGGTTTTCGGGGCGCGGTGCGGATAGCGCCGGGCCATGTTGCGGTGCAGCTGGTTCCCAGGATCTCGTTCCGCGCCGTGAAACTGGCAGAGGAGGTCCCGCAGATCGCCAATTCGCAGCAGCAACAGCACATACTGCTGCCCTTTTCCGTCCCGGGTGAGCAATCCTGCGCCAAATTCGATATGCCCCAACCTCGACCATAAGAATAGGAGTACGTGTCGCTGCTCGCAACGCATTGCACTGGCATCAGAGAGCCGCGCAGCTGAGACCTATCACTGCTGCTCTTGACCGCTCCCTGGGACGGGTTCTTGGGCCGAGCGGCGCTCTCCTTCGCCTCTTCTCGCGAAAATCGATATGAACGATCGTTACGCTCCCCACGCACGTGCGGCGGCGGCACATACCGATCGCAGCGGCCGCGCGTGACTGCAGTTGTCGCTTCCGCCGGCGATAACGTCGCCATGGCCGACCTCAGCATCGCTGTGGACCACAAAGTCCCGGACACGATCCACTCGGAGCACCTCGCCGCCATCGTGGAGGCCAAGCTCGCGGGGCCGAGCGAGCGCGCTGCAACGCGGCACTCCGACGTCCTGGAAGCCGCGTCGCCGCAGGCCTGCGGCAAGCCCCAGAGCACCCCGCACGCGCCCGTCGAGGCCTCGGGCACGGACGCCCTTTCGCGCGCGCCGAAACCCCCGTGCGCGGCCTGCGGGCCCTCCGGCAACATGCCCGACCTAGCCTCCGAGCTGTCGATGCGCGCGAGCCTCGACAGCCGGCGGTCCCTGAGCTCGCGCTCGCCCATGCTGCGCGTGCGCGCGATCAACCACATCTCGCGCATCGTCAGGGACGTCCGCGCGACCGCTAACTTCTACAAACGTATTCTAGGGTTCCGAGAGGTGCGCGAGAGCGGCGGCCCGCACGCGACGCCCCCGCCCTCGACCAAGCGAGCATGCGCGTCGCTGCGTGAACCAAAAAGCAAGCCCGATCCGCGGTGGCCCGGACAGGACGACACAAATGCCTGCCGGCGCGAACCGGGCCGCGAGTTCCCGCTCGCGCCTGCGCGATCTCGCTCTGACTGACGGCGCACGGAGCGCGGTGTCTGCTCGCAGGTGGTCCGTCCGAGCACCTTCAACTTCAGCGGAGCGTGGCTACACGGCTGCGGCGTCGGTGCGCCCCCCTCGCCCGCCAACCAGCCCCGGCCGCGCGCTGCGCTGCCGTCGCGACCTCACCGCGCCGTCGCCGCACGCCCGCTCGCAGGGCTGCACCTCATCCAGGGCGAGCCCGTCGCGCGCGAGGCCGAGGTCATTCCCAAGTCAGACCACCTCAGTTTCCAGGTCGACATGCCGCTGGCCTCGGTGGAGGAGGTGCTCACGAGCCTCGACATGCGGTACGTGAAGCAGATCGTCCGCGAGGGGCCGTACCTCGTCACGCAGCTCTTCTTCCACGACCCAGATCGCAATATGATTGAAATCTGCGACTGCGACCAGCTGCCGGTGGAGTACATTGCGTCGGCGGGGTGGGACGTGGGGTCGCTCGAGGAGGAGGTGCTCGCGACGCGCGTGTTCGGGCCGTCGGGGTCGGAGATGTCCGCGGCCACGGTGCGCGCGCTGGCGTAGGTCGGCGCGCGACCGACGGGGATTCGAGATTCGAGATTCGAGATTTACTACTACACGAGTGTGTTAAGAATAATACGATCATGGCGATCCTCGGCGGCGAGGCATCGTTCAAAGCACGACGCGTGCTCACCAGCCCCTCTGCACGTCAGCTCAGCGTGCGTGCAGAGGTGCTCAGCGACGCAGCGCGAAACGAAAGCCACCCGACTTGGTCAGAGCTGAGCCCTCACAGACAGAAGGTAGCTCCACGCGGCTCGTCGACATCCGTACGGCGACCCGAGTCGCCACCAGCGGCGTACAAACAACCGTCGACACTCCCCCCCCGCCGCCACCTCCTCCCCTACGCGCGCACCTCCGCCAGGCCCGACCCGACCAGCTCGCTCGTCCGCGCCTTGCCCATCGGCACCGCGACGCCGTCCGCGTGCAGCGCCAGGTCCACGTCATACCCCATCATACCCCCCCTCACCTCCTCGGCGTCCTCCGCGCCCAGCCGCCACAGCGCGCCCTCGCGCGCCTGCGCCGACGCCGCCGCGCGGCCCAGGAACCTCGCGATCGCCCCCTTGGTCGCGTTCTTCAGCTCCGCCGGCGTGGCTTTCCGGTCCTTGTTGAACATCCTGGCGATGCGCGCGCCGACGAACGTGGCGTCCAGCCGCACGGGAATGTCGCAGAAGCTCATGTGGCCCGACTCGGACAGCGCGACGAAGATCGCGCCGGGCGCCCCGCGCGCTCCCGCAGCCTCGAGCACGCGCCGCAGACCCTTGGCGCCGACGCCGCCGCCGTACTGCGAGCCCGTCGTCGGGTGCTTCTTGTGCCAGTCGTGGCTCGACACCACGAGCAGCGGCGCGCTCGTGCGCCACGCGCGGTACACCGCGCACTCGGGGGGCATGCAATTCCAGTAGGGATCCAGCGCTACGGCGGCGAGAACCCGGGGGTCCTGCCCGCCGACGCGCGCGGCCGTCACGCCGCCGAACGAGTGGCCCGCGACCGCCATGTGCCGCACGTCGAGCCGGCCCGCGAAGTCCTCGAGCTGCACGGCGCTGTCGCCCACGACGACGCGCGTGGCAGCTGCGACGTCCAGCAGCGGCGCCATGCCGGTGCTGCGGGCGCTGTCATCCGGCGCAGCGTCGGGGCTCCGCTCGTCAGCGAGGCTCTCGAGCAGGTCGAGCCCGGCCACCATCTCGCGCGTGCGGTACCGTTGCTTCTCCCACATGCCTGCATGCGCCGATTGCGGGGCCG